TCAGGTCGTCGTCGTTCAGGATATTCGTGATCTGATACCTTCGCTTCCGAGTCCGGAATTAAGCCCTGAACCTCGCACCTTAAACCCCTAAACCCTACACCCCTAAAACCCGAAACCCCTAAACCCTAATAACCCTAATAACCCTAATAACCCCTAAACCCCTGAAACCCTAAACCCCTAAACCCTAAACTCCTAAACCCTAATAACCCTAATAACCCTAATAACCCTACTAACCCTAATAACCCTACTAACCCCTAATAACCCCTGAAACCCCCGAAGCCTCCACCAGAGGAGTAGTGGGGGGCTACCAAAAAAAACACCCAGGAGCTCCTCTGCAAGCGACCCAGAGGCTCCTTTGTGGTTCCTTTTTGGGGTTCGTATCTACTATTTTCTTAAGAACCCCCCCAAAAAAATAGAAAATAATAATCCCTACATATATTATCCCTATAAGGAAGATATTTTTTTCATTTTTTGGGGGTTCTTAAGCAAATAGTAGGTATTTGGGATCCTAAGAGGTAATCCTAAACAGGAACTAGTATGGAGCCTATAGGGAATGTCGCGGATCGTTTGCTGTGGAAATTTCAATGGGGAAGATCCCGGTGATGTCCTCGCATCGGGAGCAGCGGCTGAATCCTTAAGGTGTGCTTTGACTCTTACGGCCTTGAGAAGATTCATGCTTACGCCCTTGGATGACGATCCGAACTCAGTTTTGTTCGTGATTACACCGCCGGCCATACTGGTTCGTCTTGGCCTTGTTCGACCAGATGAGCGCTGGGTTCTTACCCGAGCGATGTATGGACTGAGGCAGGCTCCGCGCCTGTGGTCCGCACAAAGAGATAAAATTCGTCAAGACACTGTGGGTTGTGCTCGATGACAGGAGTGGGCCTTCCATCAGGGCCTCGCTGAGGCTAATTTGTGGTTTGTGTATGAGGTCAACAACGGCTGAACCCCGAACCTTAGACTTAAACCTTGCGCCCTACACGCTGAACTGGTCCTGAAACTCATTTGATATTGAGATCGGAAGAAATGCGCCAGTTATTCCTCAGGGTTCCTTGTTCTTGCTATTCCGGCGAACCATAAGATTCCCCATAACCCTGCTGTAAGTATTAAAGCGTCTACATGATTCTACAGTCTTCCTTCCGGCCTTCACCCTCAGCCCCGCAAACCCCTAGAACCCATAGAAGATAGATCTCCTTAAGAACCCTTGTAGAACCCCTTACAGGACCTTTATGAAACTCCATTACAGAGCCTTACGAGCCCTGCAAGGACCCCTATAGAACCCCGTCATGGTCTCCGAACCCTTTAAATAAGAAGCCCTTACACCCTAAACCATAAACCCTGACTAAACCCCTAAAACCCTAAACCCTGAGCCCCAAACCCCAAACCCCAAACCATAAGCCCTGAATCCTAAACCCTAAACCCCAAAATTGCCCAAGGAAAGATGCGAAGGGACGGTCCCTACTCTGCATCGCCGTGGCCGGGGGGGGGGGGTTCCGGAAGCTTCGCTTTAGGGTTTAGGGTTTAAGGTTCTGGAAGCTTCGCTTTAGGGTTTAGGGTTTAAGGTTTGGGGTTTAGGTTCAGCAGCTCTGGGTCGAGCAGTTTTATAGTAGAGTTGTATTTACGGTCTTGATATAACACCCACCCACCCATAGAACCCCATAACATTAAGCAATATAAAGTTCTTTCATCATTATTTAGAAAATTCTACCTACAACTTAGCTTGTCAAACTAGGCCCTAAACCTTAAAGCCCAAGCCCTAGGCCCTAAACCCCAAAGCCCAAACCCGAGGCCCTAAACCCTAAAAGCCAAACCCTAGAGCCCAAACCCTAGGCCCTAAACCCTAAAGCCCAATACCTAGGCCCTAAACCCTAGATCCCACACACTACAACCCAAACCCTAGGCAAACCCTAGGCCCTAAACCCTAAAGCCAAACCCAATGCCCAAAACCCTAAAGCCCAAACCCTAGGCCCTAAAACCTAAAGCCCAAACCCTAGGCCCTAAACCTTGAAGCCCAAACCCTAGAACCCAAACCCTAGGCCCTAAACCCTAAAGCCCTAAACCCTGAGCCCTAAACCCTAGAGCCCAAACCCAGAGCCCAAACCCTAGGCCCTAAACCCTAAAGCCATACCCTAGGCCCTAAACCCTAAAGCCGAAACCCTAGGCCCTGAACCCTGAAGCCCAAACCCTAGGCCCTACACCCTAGAGCCCAAACCCTAGAGCCCAAATCCTGGGCCTTAAACCCTAAAGCCAGACCCTAGGCCCTAAACCCTAGAGCCCAAACCCTAGGCCCTAAACCCTAAAGCCCAAACCCTAGGCCCTAAACCCTAGAGCCCAAACCGCCAAAACCCTAGGGCTTTTTGCTCGACCCGTTCGCTGTTTTTGCCAATAAATTGGCAAAAAACCGCGAACGGATGCGGCAAACCCTAGGCCTTTTTGCTCAACCCGTTCGCGGTTTTTGCCAATAAATTGGCAAAAAACCGCGAACGGATGCGGCAAACCAGATTGACAAAAAGAAGGCCTCGAAAAGGTCGAGCAACCGAGTAGGTTGCCCAATGCGTTCGCGGTTATTTACCTTTTTTTTGGCATTTCGGGTCATTTGCTCAACTTTTTCGCTGTTTTTGCCAATTTATTGGCAAAAACCGCGAAGGCATTAAGGTTTATATACATAAGATTATAGGGTTTAGGGTTTGGGGTTTAAGGTTTGGGGGTTGAGGGTTTGGAGGTTTAGGGTTTAAGGTTTGGGGGTTTAGGGTTTACAGTAGAAGCCAGAAAGTTGGAACATTACTATCCTCATGCCCTTAATCTAGAGTAACCGGAATCCCAGCACAAATCATCCCAAATCTATGTTCCAACTTTCTGGGGATCACTATAGGGTTTGGAGTTCAGGGTTTGGGCCGGGAGCTTCGCTTTTAAGGGTTCCTTTGAAGTTTTAAGTTTTTCGTGTTTCAACTTTATAGGGCCTAGGATTCTTTTCCTTTACGGGTTCCTTTAAGCTTGTCGTGTTCAAGGTCCAGGGTTTGTAAGTTTTTGGGCGTGGGTTGGGGTTTGGGTTATGACATCTGTTAGCCGGATTTGTGTGAACATTTACTCTCATTCACATGAAGCTTCAAAAACTTATATCCTAAACTCTAATCCTTTAAATCACACCTATATCCTCAACTCTATCCCTTTAAAACCCGCTCTACGCCATAATCCTAAGCCCTGAACGACGTCTGTGCAAAATCCTACGCCCTAAACCCTTAAACCCCCAAACCCTGAAACCCCTAAATCCCTGGAACCCCTGAAACCCCTAAGCCATTAAGAAGAAAGAGCCATCCACTACGGTTTAAGGTTTGGGGTTTAGGGCTTAGGGTTTAGGGTTCAGGGTTTAGGCTTTCGTAGAACATGCACCAGCACCCTAGTCTAGTTGCTCGGGTTTCTGTGTTACCGAATAACACCGAGCCCTAACAACAAAAGCCAGCTTCCGGGCTGTTGTGGAGGCTTCCGGCCGCAACGATGTGGCCCAGCGACCCAGGGGGTTTCAGCCAGAAGGGAGTTAGGGAGTTGAGTTGGCGGGGCAAGGAGGATGTGTGATGAGTGTTAGATGTATCAGTGCTTGCTATTCTTCCCTAACGTGCACAAGGCATGGGGACTGTTCCGTGATTGGATTCCCTCTCAGGCCATAAACCTCTAAGGTACCTCCTCCTCGAGGGACAGTACATTACCATCGAAGCCCTGACCCCAGATCCTAAGCGCCCGTACCCCGAAGCCCCTAAGCCCGCAGGCTTCTCAAGCCCTTGTTATCTATAGTCTCCTTAGGATTTTTTGTTTTTGTTCATTTAAAACCCAAGAGAATGTTTAAACATATGATTGTTGTTGTGGTTCTGAGGGGGTATAGCTATTTCTGCCTCTGGCTATCTATTTGACTGTCTGCCTATCTAGCTATCTACCTACCTCTATCTACCGATCTGTCTATCTATGTTATCCGTCTTTCTATCCATCCATCTCTGTATCGGTCTGTCTCTCTATGTCATCTGTCGTTCTGTCTACCTATCCGTCTATCTATCCAGCTATCTATGTGGGGATATAGTAAGCAGAAGCCGTGTTAAACATGGAGCTTTTGGGTTGTTGGTAATATAGCCCAGGACCAGGTGCTTCGATGCAGCCCGTGGCTTTTACCACCCAGGCGATATCCATGCCAACGGCTGCAGAATCTGGAAGAACTATGACAATGCGAAGAACGCATTCATATGGTACTCCAAGAAATTCGGCACCTTCTACTGCTCTGACAGAGTCGTGCTGGATACAGTGGGTGGTTGTCAATATTAGGGTCCCTTCTTGGCTCCTTATTATAATACGGCACCTAATATTGAGGGTACCAAAATAAGGGACAACTACCCATGTAGCCAGCTAGCGATCTACCGATCTTCAGATCTGGGCCCCGATCTGTGGACTGGGGTTTAGGGTTTAGGGCTTAGGGGTTCAGGGTTTGGGGTTTAGGGATTCAGGGTTTAGGGTTTAGGGGTTCAGGGTTTGGGGTTTAGGGGTGGAGCTGTCCTATGTGTCGACCTGTCTATCCGTCTATTTGTCTATCTAGCAGCCTAGCAGCCAGCTCTCTATCTCTGTGTCACTGTATCTCTCTCTGTCTGTCTCTATGTCTGTATCTCTCTCTCTAAGTCTCTCTCTCTCTCTCTCTCTCTCTCTCTCTCTCTATATATATATATATACATATCCGTCTCTCTCTCTCTCCCTTGCTCCCTCTGTTTGCCGGTGAGGTGAGGGCTCTCCTTCAACCACTTCCTGATCCGGTGGAGCTCGTGCCCAAGGAGAACGAGAAGGCCCTTTTCTTGGGTTACCTAGGACCCAGAGTAGGCCCTTATTCCCTTTTTTAGGGTTAGGGTTCCCCTATAACTCCCTTTAACCCAAAAAGGGCACCCTTTTTATCCCTAGGTTACTGTTAGGTCCAGTTACTATAGGGGCCTTGTTCTTGTTCTTGTTCTTGTGGTCGGATTGTCGTGCCACTATTCGCGGCGCATCCCAAAAATGTTTGAATTCGGGTGAGACTTGCAAAAGGGACCTCTGTGCCAGTAGGACGTGGTGATTGGGCGCGGTCCTTCTTTTGACCGCGCGGCGAGATAGGACTCAACCCAGGCAAGGTTCTCGTCGGGCGGCCGATAGATCGGTCGGAAGACATCGAGAGTGACTTCCTCAGAGAAGAAGTCAAGGCCTGCCAGACGCTCATCTGCCGTCGACAGAAATGGTCCATAGACTACAGAGGTAGGCGCCCTGCCTCGAAAAGAAGTCCACTGACCACGGCGTAACTGACGTTCTCGGATGACGGCGTCATGCTCGACTTGTCGGATTTGCTCAGTGGTCATGGGAGGAACGAGGCGGCACATGCGCCGGAGGCAAGCGTCAGTGCGCTTAAGGTGGATCTGCACGGATCTGATGTCGCCGGTCCAACGGTGGCATGCTAAGCAGTACGGCCCAAAGGCAAAATGCCGAGCAGGACACCAGATCTTGTGGCTCCGGGCTTGGTGGGCTGCCAGGTGTTTCCGCAGAACAAAGGCGGCTGGACACAATGGACATCGAAAGGTGCGGTCAGCTGCAGACGGCGGAGGCTCAACCGCAGCTGCGATACGAGGTTGGGGAGTGTCCTTGACCCTTTCCAGATCTCGAAGAAAGCTGGCCTGTGCCTGTCGGACCTGACGTAACCACCATCCTGCATCTTCGACAAGACTGTCAAGGAGAACAGCGACGGTGTTACGCCCGTGGAAAACGGGCGCTACGTCGGGGACATATGTAAGCACAAGTTTAATATCCGCGTCCAGCTGTTGCAGCCAAGAGCTGCGAGGATGTGCAGACCAAAACTGAAACAACATCCACCTGAGGATGCTGGGCCCATGCAGCGTAAGCTGTTTCAGGAAGGCAGCACGCGCCTTGGCAATAGCAAGGGGTGGTGAGGGGGCTTGGGCGAGCCGAAGAACGTCGAGGCTGTGGAGTTGTTTGTCAGCCGCAAGACGTGGGGACAAAGCCCGCCAAACCTGGACATAGGCGCGATCCCACAAACGCTGGTGGACACTGGAGGGCAGTACTAATGCTGCCGCAGAATGAACTAAACGGGAACCTGAAAGCGCCTGAAGCACGGTACTGCGTACCTTGAGTGGCACATCCCGATTTGCAAAAAGCTTTTTGCGGAGCGGCTTGACATAACCCAACGCCTGAGATTGTCGCAAAAGAAGGTCAGGTCGAGGATTGGTGCTGGATGTCAGGATGCCACCCAAGTGCCGGTATGCATGGACAATGGGCAAATCCCATGCCTCCCCAGTGAGCTCGTCGACAAACTGGAGACAGAGCGTGTCGTCGAAAGCACACACGTGCTGTGAATGTTGCTGCCAGTCTACGCCAGCTGGTAGCAGAACGGCAGTCTTAGTGGGGGCATAGGTGAGCCGCATACCCAGTGCAGATGCTCGTGCAGCGGTGTGTGCAACAGTACGGCGCGTACGGTCAAGCAATGTCTCAGGGGAGTCAGCCGTTTGCGGCACGAAGAAGTCATCAGCCCAAGCAGGGGCACCTACGGTCGCCTCCGAAGGGCGATGTGCCCAAGAGGTGGTAAGCGGAGCCTCAGGCAAGGACGGATGGAGACCTGCCTGACCTAGTGTGCTGTCCAGGGACTTGAGGAATTCGCCGAATGCTAGCGCAAACAGCATATCTGCAGCGGGATCACCTGGCCGAGTCCCGCACGCCGTCATGGTAAGGATAGAGTGTGTGTCGATCCTAAACCATGTGGCTCTCATCATGTCCTGGACCATGGCAACAACTTGTGCCGGGGTCCCGAGTTCCGGCAAAATGGCAAGACCTTGTAACCTTTCCTTGAGGGCAATGATAGCCGCAGGAGGGAGGCCCATACGGTGGAAGACACGGAGGAGTTCAGTGTCATCTTCAACCCCAGGAATGAGGGCTTGCCGTATCACACGGTAGAAGGCCGCCTGAACATCGACAAATATGAGACTCCAGGGGAGCTTCTTGGTGTGTCGAAAGAGCTGGAAGCTGCGTGCTGTCAAGGAAACGGCCTCAATGCCTATGCCACCAAGGGCACCAAGCTGCAGGGCAGGCTTGGTGGAGGCATGCACGGGCACAAGAAGATTCCGTACGTGGCGGTGGAGGATCTTGGCCGGCACTGAAGATATCAGGATTGATCGATAGTGGCTGCATTGCAGGGAAACACCGATCTTCTTGGCCAAACAAGTCAGAGTGCCTCCTCGGAACTCTACCGGCTCACGTAAGGAAAGAGTGGTCTTAAGAGCGATAGGGGCCAGGGAACGTGCTGTGGCAACGGGACAGACTTTGAGGAGGTCGGGTGAAAGCCCGTCAGGGCCGCAAGCCTTGTGTGATTTGAGCTGCAAGGCGATACCCTCAAGGGAGCAGAGAGTCGGCACGCTGGCAATATCAAAGGGAGCGGTATTGACCGATGTGCCGCGAAAGGCGCGAAGATATTCTTCGGAAGTCACGGCCCGTCCTGCCTCTTGGTCGGAGAAGTGACTACGCCAGCATTCAGCTCTGGCCTCGGGTGTGGCAGCGTAGACCCCGCCAGAATCAAGAACAGCAGGCAATGGTCTCAAACCACTGCGTCGGGCCGAGCGTGCCGTGGGGAAAGCACGCCGTATGGCTTTGTATAAGGAAGCTGGGTCTTTGAGATCTTGGGTGCTGACTTGTTTGACAAGGCTTTGGAGGTACGCCAAACGATCACGGGTCACACCCTGGCGGAGGCGCTTAACAAACCGATGCAGGAGAGAAATGGCGCGGGCCTCACTGTGGTCAAGTTCCCAAAACCACAAGTCGGCTCGCACGACAGCTTCTGCTTGAAAATTGGTGTCTAGAACAGCAAGTCTAAAGGCTGCAAAGACGAGAAGGTACCATCTGCGATCCCGCTCCCGGCTCTCAGCGTGCAAATAGCAACGCAGGGCCTTGCACCAGCCGACTAGGTCAAGCGTGGTGTCAGTGAGGAAAGATTGGTGGGCCTTAACCGGAGCAGAATCAACCATGGCCTCACCGGCACACCGCCACTGACGGACAAAGGCCTCAAATTGCTGATCAACATCAGCATGCCATGGGCAGGAGGGGAGGGAATGGAGCAGCTCGCATCGGGCGCGCTGTTCATCGGCAGTGGCAGGTGCATTAGGACGTACGCAGCGGCGTCGGCAGTCGAAATACGGCAGATCAGAGACCGGCCGTCCGAACCGAGCCTGCAGAAGAACGGGAGTGTGATCCTCACGCAATTGCATTGCTTCGAAGCCAGGCAACGTACGGGAGCTAAGTTGGAAGTCTCGCCAAGAGAGTGGTAGAACTATGTAATCTAGGCGGTGGCGAAAACCACGGGCTGAGCACCACGTGTGCCCGGGCCCTGTGTGCACCTCCTGGAAAGTGCTCGGCAAGAAAGCGAAGATCCCAGTCAAAAAGTCATGGAACAGAGCACCAGCATGGTTCTCTGGTTCCGCTTGATGAGCTGAGATATGTTCCGTCTCGATTCCGCCTACCTGGGCATTGGAGTCAACTAAGATAATGAAGTCAGAGCCTGATGGTCTCTTGACTATTTCGCGGTGCCGAGCTTGCCAAAAGTTCACCACAACATCAGCTGAATGATTGGCGAGAGATGGGCAGTGCGCAACGATCACGAGTAGCCGGAGATGAGGGGCAGAAATGGAGACCGTCAGATGGCGATCGGAGTGCCCAGACACAACGAAGTGCTGCTCTTGAAAGTAAAACCGCTGTCCTTGGATGCGTGCATAAGGCGTCTGCTTGGCGATCCAAAGGGCGCATCCTCCGGAGCCTTCAGCAGTCGCTGATGACTGCAGGATGAAGTACTGACTGTCAGGTGCTAGGGCAGAGTCAGGCAGGCGGGTCTCCTGAAATCCAACAAAAAGCGGCTTGTGTGGGGCAAGCTCTTGTTGCAACAGCGCCCTTCTGCCGAGAAACTGCAGACCAACTGGAAGGGCAGTGGTAGCGGAGCGGGCAGAATGATCCCGCATGGTCAGGACATTGAAGGTCACACATGTGAGGTCATATAGGACCTCCTTGCCGGTAGATTTAATTTCGCGAATACCCATGGAGGGCGCTGCAGCGGCGTGTGCCGGGATGGATCGCAGACGAGTGGCCTCGCTCTCAAATGCGAACAAGGTGGGGATGTCGGCATGATTCCCAGCAAGCAACCAGAGCCAAAGAGAAAGTGGGTGGGCAGCGAGCTGAGCTGGCCACGGCGGCAGACAACGAGACCAAAAATCACCGGGTGACCGACGGGCTGTCTTGGCGACAACATCGGTGACTTCATTTCCTAGTGTTCCAGAATGCCCTTTGACGTGGCCATAACGGACAGGGCAGAGGCATGCGGCATATTGTCGCAGGGAGACGGCTAGGCAGAGGAGAGAGGGGCGGCCGGTGTGATGGGGATAAGACAGCTGTCGCCATTCCCCAAAGACACTGCGCCCGACGGACTCTGCATCAAAATAGAAGGTGAGGACTGCCTGGAGCGCTGGCCCGTATTCGGCGGCCCACACTAGGGCCCAGAAGAGGGCAAGAAGCTCGGCAGTGACAGCGTGGTCCCCAAATTCGCCAACGTGGTAGGGGGTCTCGGGTGGGGCGGCCTGGCCAGCAGCCCCGCCATAGAAGAAGAGCCCCTGAGGGCTTGAAACCCAAACCGTAAAAGCCCACGAGCATGGCAAAATGTCATCAGGGTCAGTAGCAGCTGACCCATCTGTGAAGACAAGAATCTCGCGAACGTCGGTGGCTGCTTGATTGGATCGGTGCCATCGTGGGACACGGTCAAGCTGGGCCTGAAGGCTTACAGAAAGCATGCCAGGCTGCATGAGCGATGTTAGATCATTATCAAGCCAGTCGGCCTGCTCTGCGGACGCAGGGATGGGCACCAGAGCACGGAGCGTCTCAACGGACATCTGGTAGTCTGTGAGGGGCAGAGCATCAGCGAGGGCTATAGAAACCACGTTCTGTTTGACGGATTTACCTGCGAAGAATTCTTCGAGGGTCTCAAGCAGTGCAACCGCATCAAAGTAGGGTGCTCCGTCCGTGTCGAAGAAACATTGTTCCAAGAGTGTGGGGCCGGGGATGGGCCAGTATCCGCGAGGCAGCGGTGGCGGTTGCACAAGCGGAGGGCAGTCATTGCTGCGACAAGGCGTCGCAACAGCCCGAGCAGTGAAGGCCGAAAAGGCGCAGGCCGCAGCTGTTCCGAGACACGGAGTCCCAACCGCAGGATTCTCTGTAGCTGGCGCAGCAAGTACAAGGGTGGGCCAACAAAGCACCCAGAGGCAAACGCAGGCAAGGACAGCCCGACGCCTCTGCAACGCAGCCAAGCTTAACAAAGCCCTAAGGAAGAGCTGCACAAGCTTGGCAAGAACAGCGGGCCCATAACACAGGAGGACAGAGGTGAAGGCCTGACCAAGAAGGGCAAGAATCCACATGACTACTCTACTGAATGTTTGGGCAAGTTGCTGCTGCAATGGTTGGATGGGATGGGCAGCCGAGGTCGAAAAGGGGGGCCGCTCGGCAGATCGCACATTGGTGCCCCCCGTTCCAGCATCAGTTTGTCCAGAAGTCGGACCTTGGGGTGCCATGTCATGCCTCTCTATGTAACCTGGGCCTCCAGATGGGATCAAACCTGTAGGGGCAGGCAGAGAGTGGGAGGCGGCTGCCTCTGCATGGGTGAGGTACTCAAGGACCAGAGTGTCGCTATCCTGAACACGGATGTCGTGCGTGAGTGGACTAGTGTCTCCTGCGATGTCTGTGCATGCAAGAACAAAGCCAAGCGGACAGCGGGCAGCAAACCGTTGCCTCAAGGCTAGGTGATCGACGTCACCGTTGGGTGCTTCGGCCCAACTAAACCCTAGGAGCAGTGGGCGAAGGTCAAGCAAGGCATAGGGGGGCCGTGGTGTCCTGCGGGGAGATTCGTCAATTGGAACATGGGCGACAAGGACAGCGCGAGCTGTGACGCCACGATGTGAATAATCCGTGGCACCAATGGCGGGGCGAAGCACAAGGGAGTCTCCGCGGCATCCCAGTACAACGGAAAGGTCCTGTCGTAGGAAATGCCGGCGCCCAGGCTGTACGATGTAAGAGAAGTGCATCTGATCGGCAATGACCCAAATAAGATCATGCTGTGGCGGAGGCGGCACTTGGTGCTCACCCCAGCCTTGTACCCTCAAAAGAAGGTCGAGTAAGCTGCGCGGCGTTGGGGGGAGATGTGGTCGGTGGACGACCCAAAAGAGGTCTCCGTCTTGGACCTGCAGTCTGGCCTCCGAAATGACAGGCCAAGGGACATCACGATGGTACACATCGACGTCGGCCTCGTCCGGCAAACCAGAAATCCTGAGCACATCCCTGCGTGTCAGCAATGGTGGCACATCCATACAGAAAACCGTGTTGCCAGGGATGGAGGCAAAACAAGCAATGACGCCTTGTGGATCCCAGACAGGGGTAGCAACGACTGATGCGACGCTAGTACTGGGCTGCGGAAAGACAGGAATAAGCCTCGGAAAGCGTCGTTTTGGTGCCGGGAGGCGCATGGCTGAAACCCGTGCAAGCGCAGGGTGCACGGCGTGTGGCATTGCTAACCTTACCGAATACAATTCAGGAGGACTGCCGACTATGAAGACCTGGAATGTAACGGCGGTAAATACGCCAACACCGGTATGGGTGGTGTCCTCGTCGTGACCAGTGACTGGCTCGGCCTCGGCTCCCTCCGAGGTCAGGTTGAGATTTGAGGCGGCTGTGCCTGTGAGCTGTGGGAGGCTGGCATCATGTTGACCTGGAGTGGCATGAGCGGTTGCTGACAATGCCTGGGGTGAACCAGTGGCAGGTGACAGTGGCCAGAGATCCTGTCGCAGGTCCGGGGCATCCCGTGCATGAGGCTGGTGCAACGGCGGCTGGAGGGCAACAGCAGCAACAAGGACTGTCCCCGGAGCAACTCGGAAAAGGTTGTCTCCAATGGGGACGTCAGGGAGATATAGGGAATGTGGCTCAGGAGCGAGGTGGGCAAGGGCCTCTCGGAGTCTGTCAACGTGAACATGACCTCCTTGAACAGTGTGAACGCGCCAACCTTGCATCAGAGGTCGGCAGTCAATCAAAATGACATGGTGGTCACTGGGGCGATTGGTGGTTTGCACTGCGTCGGCGGCAACAACGGCTCGACAAGTGTGACCATCAACGACGGCATCAGTAACCCGCGGCCGGGCCGGGTAGAGAGCAAGGTCCCTAATCCGCACTTGCAACGCATTGGCGAGTTGTTGTCGAAAACGGGTAGGGTCGGAGCCAGGGAATTGGTACAGGACAAGCTGCTGATGCATGACAACACAGTATGAGTCGGGTTCAGCGGAGGGCAGAATAAAGTCTTGTGACCACATGCTAGGCCGCTGCAACATGATCCCAATGTCGCAGTATTGTGGCGCTGAACTGCCTCGCGGAAGAATGACAATTGAGCAGCCAGACACAACGTGAAGGAAGGTGCCCGGCTGAAGAGGTTCAGTGTCGCCGGCAACATATACATCGACGTCTGCTGTGGGCTCTGCGCCGGCAAGCCGGAGAACGGTCAGCCTGTCAACATAGGCAGGAGACGCAACTGCATATAGGCGGCCATCCGTCCGCATCGCGTCAATAACAACCGCACAAAGATCTGGGTCCCAGTGAGGCAAGGCGAGGTAGACTCCAGCACCGTTGACAGTCTGAGGGTGTGCTGCAACCAATACCGGAAAATGGGTGGCGCGCTCCGGGTCACGCTCCTGCTGAAAAATAACTTCCGTGTCGGCACACGAGGCTGGAAATTGAATGGCAACTTGTAGTACCTCTGGCGTATAGGCTGGTGCAAGGATCAGCACAGTAGCCCAGGCTATAGACTCCGTGTCTGATGCCGCAAGGACAGAGTCGTCATCAGATAGGAAGGGGTCGTTATGCTCTAGGGGCAAGTGTCGCCAAAAACCTCCTAAATTGCCTGTGGCCCTGCGTAAGGCACTGAGCGCTTGGTAGGCAGGCAGACTGTCACAAGCGGGCTCGAGGAGGAGTCTGAAAAAGGTGGCCATTGCATGTACAAAATGGCGCACAATAGTGGCAGCAACAGTGGCAGGAACTGACCCCAGCAGGCCAAGTGTGTCGACACCATGGGTGACACCAAGGGCACAAGCGGCGGTAACAACAATGCGTAAAGCATGTGGGAAGTACCCATCTAGGAGTTGACCAGAGCTGGGGGCTGTCAGCCACCCCATGGCAGCTCCAACAGTGGGTTGAGATGCCAAAGCTAGAATGGTTAGTCCCTGTGAAGCACCGCGAAGGGTAGTGCGATTCTGGCCGCTCACCTGCCGAGGAGAACGGCTCCGCAGAGAGGCGCCTTGTGTTGAGGATGAAGTATCACCATCATCGTGGGAGTCTGTGCACTCAGAAGAGGGGGTGAGGCGGCACCTCTGACGGGGGCCTTCAGGAGAGGCATGAGATGCGGGGGTGACGGGAACCCACATCACAACAAGCACCTGGCCTCTAGTGACAAGCAATCGAACCCCGTCGTCAGCAATGGCTGCTCCCTCAATTTGCACTTGAAATTGGTCAGGAGCGAAAGTGTCATAGAGCTGCACTAGGTCTACATGCGAACAGTGCCAATCTTGGACAAGATACTGGTGCCATCCTTGGAAGATGGGCCGGCAGTCCAACGCGATGAGGAATGTTCCAGGCATGGGAATTCCAGGAGGCACCGGGACATTGGGGATCTCAACGCTGAGCATGGCAACGCCTCTGCAGCGGTAACCATTGTGGGCAGCATCGAAGACACGGGGATGAGCGACTTGAACTGTGGTCCAATGCAAGGGAGTGTCGTACTCTGTGGCCAAATGTTCCAAGTAGTGCCGGCCAGGCGAACCTTGGACCGTATAGAGGCCTCGAGAACCATGCAAATGTAAGGTCCTCGGCGACCGCCAGGTCCTCGCGGGACCTCGACATCCAGATCCCATTCGGCAGGTGTGGACAACATGCCAGCAAGATGGTACATCCTTGGCACCGGATCTGCGACCCGCACAAAAGCAATGGTACCCCGAGACAGAAGAGGAATTGTCTCCTCGTCTTGCAAAGGGTGCGTACGGCCGTACGGGTAGATGCTGGCAGAATCGTCGTCTGGGAGTCCTGCAAGAGCTAGCATGCCAGCCCTGTCGGCAATGTCAGGGTACTCGACAAGGAAGAAACGGCCATCTATGCACCTGAGATCAAGAAGGACAAGGGAGTCCCCAGCGGTCCAGCAAGGCAGGGCAATGAGGGTAGCCCACTGTGCAGAGGGCTGGTGGACGGCCTCAACGATGTTGGGGTATTGCAGGTAAAAGGTCTGAGTGCGTTGTTCGTCAATGGCATCAATCAGCTCAGGAACGGTGGCTGGTGCAGAGACGGAGAAGTCGAATGCCTGTGTGGTCTTATCAAGCACGAGCAGCAATGCCTGTCCTTCAATGGTCTCGCGATGGCTGCCATAGTCACTGGTATCAGCATCTGACGGTTCAGAGTCATCGGCTGGAGTCTGTCGGGCAGGCCGCAGCAACATAGGAGGGGGGTGGTCTGCAACGGACGGCGCTGAAAAGAGGGCAGAACCAGCAGCAACAGTAGCAGCTGGTGTGGTTGTTCCATGTGAGACAAGGTCATGATGCTCGGCTCGGTGAGCAACGACAAGCAAAACAGGCAATTCACTGCGGCCGGTGCTGGAGGATGAGACATCTGTGATTCGCAACATCCAACCATCGTCTAGCTCAAGACCAAGGCTCCCAATGAGGCGGGGCAGGTCGCACTCATGCGTGGGAAACCTTAGGACAACGGGTGCAAGGCCTAGAGGTCTTAAGTCGCAAAGGCAATCCCATCCTTGCAGCGGCCAGTCCGCAGCGGGCTCCGGTATTGCAATGTCTAATTGCCTTGGGGACGGCATCTCGAGGATGGCACACAGAGTGGGACAGGCATGTCCCCGAATGGCAAGAGCTGACACGGAGCTAGTGGAAAGAGTATAAGCCGATTGTTCGGTGACTCCGAATCGCTCGCAAAGGACATCCTGCATATCCCGACCAGCAAAGAGACCCGAGTAGAAAGTATGGATCTGCTCACGAAAAGCAACTGCGACGGAGGGTGTAAAGGAGAGTCTGGGCATGTCTTCTAAGTCTCCCCGAAAGCCAGCAGCAGTCGCTGGTGCAATGTCATGTGCTGGTTGAGGCGGAGGCGAATCAGACCTGAGGAAGATCACAACATCTCCGGCAGAATGCGTGAGTCGATCCTGTTGCAGTGTCACAGAGGGACCATTGCAGACGTACACAGATACCTGGGTGGGATCTGTGTCCAGCTCGTGTGCATACATGTTTATAAAGTCACTGACTGAAACCGAGGCGACAACAGTGTCCGCCAAGTAATGACCGCCTACATGAGTCAAGTCAACAATGACGGGCAATGTCGCACTGGTCAACATGTATGAGGTACATGCAATGAAGTCTAGGAATCCTGGATGTCGGGGAGCATTGACAGGCATCAGCTCGGAGGTATGTGGGAGACTCAGCTGGACGTGCCGACGCAGGGCGCTGACGAGGCTAACGAGCCCTTGCCTAGGTACATGTTTAACCCCGAAACCCTGTGGAAGGTAATAAGGGGCGTAGACATACACTCCGATCCATTCATCCGGGTCGTAATAGACTGCATCGGGCCGTAAATCAGCAACCGGTACAATGTCAGCGACAGGCTGAAGGTCGTGGCTGTGTCCAGGCTGCAGTTCTCCAGGGGCAGGTGGCAGGTCCTGAGGCTGCACGTCACCAAAGGACTCCAAAAATTGTAATACTTCCCTCAGTTGGGGGGGTGCAGCCCAAACCTGAACGGGTGCATCAAGGAGAGCAAGGATGCCTAAGCAAAGCCTAATCCTCAGTGATGACTTCGGCCGAACATGTGAGCGAAGTCTCCTCTCTGGTGTATTCCTGTGCGAGGAAAGAAGATGCGCACAGCGTGTGGCACCAGAACATGGCGCAAAAGCAAGCAAGCACCGAAAGGGCAAAGCTCGTGCAACGTCTTGGGAGCAACGGCCTAGGGCCGTATGACGCACCGGAAGAGCGACAACAAGCAGCGCACTCAGTGAAGCCGCAATGACAGCACAAAAGGTGCGACCGACGGAACAAACGAGGTTCGTAAGAAGGGTCAGGAAAGTCAAAACCCAGGGCACAGTCACGCACTCCGAAGAAAGATGCCAGCCCTGGGAGGTATGACAAGGCGGAGCGCTAACTACAGCAACGGTAGACGTCCCAGAGCCACCGATACGTCTTTTTGGCACGCGTCGCTGAGTAGCACCAGTAATGATAGGGAAAGCAGAAGGCTGCAAACCAGAAGGCGGGGGAGGTCCCCAAAACGCAAAAGCCCAATGCGCCTGGGGAACTCGCGAGGAAGAGAGGACAAGACCACCACGAAGGCCAACCGAAATCCAGGATGGCCCAGTGATGACAGCCCAGAAGCAAGGGCGGGATGAACTCCCAGTGTGGCTCCTGGCACAGAGCAACAGCTGTACAGAGCAGTCGTTCTTAAGCCATCTCAGGGGTGAGAAACCCGAAAAATGGTTTAGCTGGACACAACAGCATGGCCGCCTACCGTGCAGACAACGATAGTTGCATCCCATCAGCAAGTATCGGCCGCAGGTCGGGTGGCTGTCTGTTGTGTTCAGACAAAACCATTTCGGTCGGAAAGTGGGTACTCGCACAAGTGCCCAGAGGCTCAGTCCATCTCGTGGTCGGACGGGATGTTGATGGGCGGACCGGTATGAGAGGAGGTATCGTCTGGGAATACACCCCCAATCTGGTCGTCTGGCAGCGGCTCTGGCTTGGTCTCGCCGTCGTGTGCATCCATCTGGAACGTGGCAGCATGCCCGGCCACTTGGCCGTCCTTGACGGCCTGTTCGTCGAGCATCTGCTGCCTTCGGTGTGCCAGCTTGTCGTGTAGACTCTGGCCACCAGTGTTGACCTCCGGCTTGGTAAGGGTCTTGACGGGCTGACGAACCTTGGGCCCCCGTGTCTCGCGGGCATGTGGTGAAAAGGAGCTGGTTCGTGAATCTAGGTTCGCACCGGGAGGGGCCGCGGTCTGTCCTTGCTGAGCATCGTGGGCTTCGGCGGGTGGATGGCGTAGATGAGCACCACTGGGAGACATTGAGAAGGGCTCGCTGGACAAGGGCCCCATGTATGGGGCGGGCCCAGGAATATTCGAGGTCGGAGGCGCCGCATGTCCCAGAGGAGGGGCATGTTCGCCACTTGACCGAGCGGGATCCACTGCACCCTCTCTCAAAGCCTGTGCCAGGGCCGGTAGGATACCCTCTTGTTGGAGTAGGCGAAGAAGGTTCGTCGGGTCGCTCTCGCCAGGTGGTGCTGGGCCTGGCCCCATCAGACGGGCCCAGGCATCGTCCTCTCCACGGGGATCGGCGGTCTGCCCTGAGTTCGCCAACGTCGAGGCTGCAGCTGCGGATCCAAGGAGGGCATTGGCCTCCTCTTGTTGACTCAAAGCATCTTGTATATCCGCTTCGAGCTTTTCCATAATACGTAGGTGCCTGGCCTCTTCTTCGTAGAACGTCTTCTTGACCTGTGCCTTGTAGGCCGCCCACTGGGCCTGTCTTTGTACCTTGTTCTCCTGAAGGCTGCGAGCACGGCTCTCCGCCTTCCTTGTAGTGTTGAGCTGGGCCTGGACAAAACTCACCAAGCTTCCCTGTTTCGGCGGTCCTGTGAGGGACCGGGACTGCACTTCCACTAAGTGCTGCTCTTTGAGATCGACCTTCTTCGCGTCGTACTTGGGGAAGTCGGCTGTTTCCTCTTCCCAGTCTTCCCAACGTTGCCAGTCCTTCTTGCGGCCTCCCTTGGAGGATGGCGAGGCCCACGCACCACGCCAATATCCATGCTTTCCCTTTCCCTGAGGCCATTTGGGGCCCATGCTATGGTGGGAGAGCAGCAAGCGAAGATCTCGACGGGCAGGCTGCTGTGAGCGACTGGCTGCGGAATGTATCCGCTTTCTCGCCTTACTGCGGCGAGCTCGTTGGCGTCGATGCCACCCAGGTGAGGAAGGGTATGGCGCAATGACGCGAGTCGCTAGGCGTGCTTTTGTAGCACTTGGGGCTGGCAGCAATCTCCCGGCTATTGGGAGTGTTCTGAGCCCTCTATAGGGGCCTTAATAATTAGAGTAGGGTTCCTCTAAAGGGTTCTCAAAGAGGGTCTTATTAGAAGGGCTACTATAAGGGCTATACTATGGGGGTTTTGATATAGATGCCTTAATAATTAGAAAAGGGGCCTTTGGAGCCCATTATATACTACAATTATCATAAAAAAGAACCACCAAAATCGTAGGGGGTAATTATTCAGGCCCCTATACTAACTGAAGGCTTCCTCTAAGGGGCTCCTACATGAGGGTTTCAGTTTAGGTACAGGCATGACTTTTCAGGATTTTGGGGTTTTGGGTTCAGGGTCTGTAGGGCCCGGGATTGAGGATTTTGGGGTTGCTCCGGCGATACAAGTTCACATGACTTTTTCTAGGGTTTGCAGCGCAGGGCCCCTGAACTCTAAACCCCAAACCCCCAAACTCTAACCTCCCCAAAAGCTAAACCCCTAAACCCTAAACCCCTAAACCCCAGGCCCTAAATCCTTTCAGGGGCTCTCACTCCCGGGTCGCGCAGAATTGACTGCCCGGTCGAATCTCTAGGCTTTGGTCTAAGGCCCTTTAAACCCTTAGGGTTTAGGGTTTAGGGTTCAGGGTTTAGGGTCTAAACCCCAAGGCTTCGATGTAGCTCTTCGGGGCGGAGCCTTTAACCCTAAACCCTAAGCCGCTCAAGTGCAGACCAACTCTCTCATCGCCCGAAGCCGGTTTCCCCAAAGACCGGGAGGGCCTTTTGGGATAAAGGGAACTCCAGAAAGTTGGAATATGGATTAATGGTAGGATCCCCTATAATTTACCATAAAGGGTTTAGGATAATCATATTCCAACTTTCTGGCTTTTACCTTATAGGCTTTCTGTGCTGTTAAGACAGGGTTTCGGTTTGCGGATTCAGGCTTCAAGAGGCCGGTTTTGTTTGCTACAGGGTTCCTAAACCCCCTGAAGCCCTGAACCCTAAGCCCCAAACCCCCTCAAGCCCTGAACCCTAAACCCTACACCCTACACCCCAAACCCCCTTAAGCCCTGAACCCTAAACCCCAAAACTGAAGCCTAAACCTTCAGCATGACAGAGTCTGCCGTAGAACCGGAACCTCGGTACCCCTTAATTACGGAATATACCTTAAATTATAGTAGGATCCTTGATAGGATTTAAGGAATATTCCTTAATCAAGGGATATTGGAGTCTCTGGGAATGTGAATGCAAAATTCCAACCCTGAGGCCTAGTGCAAGCCTTTTGAAGCTGGGTTGTCCTTTGGGATCTTTTTTGATCTACTATTCTGTAGAGAACCATAATGGTAAACATCGAAGGGCTTAAAGGACAACTCAGGAGGTACAGTCAGAGTTTGGGGTTTAAAGTCCATAGCGTTTACTCAGCTAGAGTTTTTATAAGGGAACCCTATAGAAACCTCTTCTGATGTCTATGCCACATGTAATCATCCCAACATCTTGCATCTTTCACCTAAATTCTCAACTGTAGCGCCGTAAACTTCCCAAGAAATGCAGCGCCAGCCATAGCATTAAAACATGGTTTCTAAGGCTCTAAGGCTACTTGACTTGGTATTTATCCACAAACAGTACACTTGTGAACCCCGACCCCTTGAGTCCTGGCTGTAAAGGGTGGCAGTTTCGGGCAGCGGGGTTTCCCGTCTGGTTAGCAAAGGCGCCACAACCCGAAACCGGAAACCCTGAACCCTGAAACCTCAAGCCCTTAACCCCGAAACCTCTAAGCACCCAACCTTTCAAACCTCTAAAGGCATGAACCCTACTTTGGTTAGTAGGGAATGGAGGAATGGGGTACAATTATTACTATTACTACCATTCTTCCATTCCCTACTAACCAAAGGTACGTAAACCCCGAAGCCCGAAACCGATCTAACCCTCAACCTCTAAAGCCCCAAGCTCTAAACCTCTATATACTGTCGACGTCATACCCCCCCGAACCAAACGCCCCCGCACCTTAACCCGTCAGACCTACGTGAACAACAAGGGCATCGCATCGAGCTCGGGGGTCGTCCGAGATTAGTCTTCAGGGTTTGGACTTCGGGGTTACCAAAAGTCTCCTTGTAGTTCCTGTTTTTGGTTTAACCAAATATGTAATTAGGATCCTATAAGGTAACTCCAAGAAGGCACTACAGTGAAGACTCTAGGTAAGGTTGAGGAATTCGAGTTTAGGGTTTAGGGCTTTAGGACTTCAGGGTTTTCGTGCTTCGGCTTTGGGGAATTTGGGTTTGGGCCTGTAGTGATCAGGCGTTTCTGTGACCTTTCTCACGAGAAGGCTTAGCCCTGAACCGTAAACCCAAAGCTCTAAGCCCTAGAAGCCCCAAAAAGCCCTACAAGCCCTAAGCCCCATGAGCCCTAAAGCCTATATGGCTAAAACCCCATAAGCCCTAAACCCTATCAACTCCAAACCCTATAAACCCTAAACTCCTCTAAACCCCAAACCCTACACAACCCTAAACCCTAGAGGTTTTAGATGGAGGGGTTTAGGGGTTTGGGGTTCGGGTTTCCGTGCTGGAGACTCTTGGATTTGGGGGTTCTTGCCTTGTGTGTACGATACTGTTGATGATATAAATCCTGCATGACCTTAAGGACCCTAAACTATGGGAACTATGGTATATTCCCTATTAAGGGTAATGCAGGATTTATATCATCAACCGTATGATTAGGTGATTAGGAGTAGGGTTTAGTGTTTTTGGCTTAGGGCTTTGGGTTTAGGCCTTAGGGTTTAGGGTTTGGGGTGTAGGATTTAGGGCTCGTTCTGAGCTTTAAGGATGGTAAGCGGAGGCTTTTTCTTTTGAACTTAGCCGGCTGTTGTGTTGTCTATGTTCAGCGTGTTCCGCTCCTAGAGGTTTTGTTTGTGGTTTCGAGCCCTAAATCCTACACCCCAAACCCCTAAGGCTTAAACCCAAAGCCCTACGCCAAAAACACTAAACCCTACTCCTAATCACCTAATCATATCGTACACACAAGGCAAGAACCCCCAAAATCTGAAGCTTCAGGGCCTTAGGAGTTCGAGGGTGTTACTACAATACTAGGATCTAGAGTAGGCCCTTATTCCCTTTTTAGGGTTTAGGTTACCTTATAACCCCCTTTAACCCAAAAAGGGCACCCTTTTTATTCCTAGGTTACTCTTGGGTCTAGAATAGGGGTACCTTACTTAGGGGTTCCTATAATAAGGATCCTACTATCTAGGGTACTATATTAGGGTCCCCTATTTTCTGCTGAGGGCCTTCAGGGCTTAAGCTGTTAATACCCAAACGTCCGTCTTAGGAGGTTGCCGTGTGTAAGTGTTTAGACCTTTGAGGGCTTAGTGACTGAGCTTTAGGGCCGTGCCAGTTTGGCTGCAGCTTTACGGTTCGGGGTTTGCGATAAACCCTAAACCCCAAACCCTAAACCCTATAACCGGTAAACCCTAAACCCAAACCCAAATAAAACCCAAAACCCTAAAAGACACCCGAATAAACCTAAACCCTTAACCCCAACTCAATGCAATTAGAGAAGCGAAAGCAGTACTTACTCTCCTTTTGAGATTGGGCAGTTGAGACCGAACGTGTCTGCAGAGCGCTAGAGCCAGTCCGGAGATCTAAACACCGACTATGAAAACTCGGTCATCAAGTTTATCGCGGACGGGGGGATTGTCCGGCTGAATAAGAACAGCTTTGACGCTCGGTACGATCACCGTGAGGATGCTGGCGGTGCTAAGGTGGCAACGGCACTGGCTGCTAAGTACCCTGAGCATTTGTACGCCTCGGGGAGCAAGCTCCGTGTCCGACACCCACAAGTGAAGGACAGGCCAAGAACGCGGCCTCGCTTGGACGTCTTTCGAAAAAAGATGGTCTGCAAACCTCGGAAACTTTTTGCAGGTGCATCTGGTGAGCCGGATGTTGGTGTAGAGTTCAGGGCTTAGGATGAGGGCTTGGGATTTACGGATTTCGGATTTATGGTTTAGTGCCTGGGGTTAAAATTTGTATGGGATTAATAAGGTTTTCAGGTGTGGGGTGTAGGACTTAGGGTTTAGGCGCTCCTTACTTTGCCTGCCCAACTTACCTGCAGCAATCCAAAGAACCCCTGGCCCATATGGGAGTTTCCGAAAATAGGAGACCCTAACATAGTACCTTAAATTGTAGGATTCTTATTATTAGGACCCTAGATAAGGTACCCTTATTTTTTCCGGAAACTCCCACATGGCACTTAAAGCAACCCTCTAAGAACCTTTGCTAGGCTTTCTAGGCTCATAAGGCTCGCCGCGGCTTCAGTGCCACAGACGTGGGAGTTTCCGAAAACTAGGGGTACCCTATTTTGGGGTCCTTCAAAGGCCAAGATCAGACAATCAGCATGAATGTTCCAGTGGGCAAGGGGATTACCGTGCAGCGCGCACGTATGGATGAGCTATGATTAGCTGGACCCCTCAAAATCCAAAGCTGTACGTGCCTAGCACCAAACCCCAAGTCCCAAAAAGCCCCCTTAAATCATCCTAAACCCAGTCCCTGAACCCTATGAATCGCCATGGCAGTGCTTAAGATAGCAGTGCTTAAGCGGGAACTCTACAACTTTCGACAGCCGCCTAAACCCTCAAACCTTACATCCAAGCCCCCACACCCCAAAGCCTAAATCCCACGTCCTACACTACACCCTACATCCTAAACCCTCAAACCTGAGCCCTACACCCTCCGCCCGAAACCCTAACCCTAAATCTACTTATACCCCTAAACCCTAAACTTCCCCGACAGCCGATGCACACAGCTGTGAGCTGAGGCCACCAGTGACAGCAAAGAGTTGCTGGGCAAGGCCCGTCCTTTTTGAGCTATACGTAGATTGCTTAGGTTTTAGGATTTAGGGTCTAGGAGTCAAGGGTTTAGAGTTTACAGATACTTCAGCATTCATGGGAATTCCTCGTCATCTTAATGATGACCTATCAGAGCACTCCCAAGGATATCAACAGCAAGCCGATTCTATCTTGGTGCTAAGAGCGCTTAGAAATTAGACACATTTTCCTTAGGCTTCTTGAAGCGGTTCGGTCTTTTTCAGGGTCTGGTTCTTTTCGGGCTTGATCAAGGTTTATAAAAAATGTTCCAGGTTTTAGGATTCTGTTTTCAAGCATTTACGTCTTGGGTTTTAGGGTTTAGTCTGGTTTGGTTTCAGGGCTCACAACTTTCGCAGGGTGTAGCATCTCAGTTCGTAGGGGCGTTTGAGTTTAGGGTATAGGTTTTACTACAGGTCAGCTATGCAGGGATGGGTCTAGTTTCGCTCTAGTTTCGGGTGTCGCGCTTTTGGTTGTATCTGAAGGAGGTTTAGGTTCGCCCAAGACCCAAAACTCCTAAACCCTTTTTTCCTAAGCCCCAAACCTAGACACTCAGCCCTAGACCAAGCGTGAACCCAAAACTCCGACGTCTAAACTCGTGCACTCCTAAACCCCTTGGGGTCGAATTCGGAAGACCCCTTAACGCCGGAATATCGTCGTTTCGAGTTTGAACAAACGCAAGGCAACCGCTGAAGCCCGACCGTGATCCATGTATCGCAGCCTTTCGTAGTGCACAGTGCATAGACCAGACAGTGGGTTCAAGTATTCAATCATCAGTAGGGCTTCGGGTTCCACAAGTCCATTTTCCGAATGGCTTTTGGTACCTAAAGCCCGATGATTTGGGCACGTGTACCTTTAGAGGAAGCCAGTACGCAGACTTCCTGCAACGTGAACCGGAAAGCAACTCCCTGACTCCCCGCCACCATACTCTAAACCAACGCTCTGAAGGCAAAGTGGGCAATGTTTGAAATGCTAGTATAGTATTTTATTATTATAGAGCATAGTGCAGAATTTTGTATAGTATAGCCCGGCATAGTATAGAATACGAGGGATTCCTCTACTCGGGGCTCCCGTACTGCGAGTCCCCACTATAGTAGAAGCCACAAAGTTGGAACATCATTAGCCTCATGCCCTGACAATACAGGGGGGAATCCCAGCATGAATCCTCCTAAGTCTATGTTCCAACTTTCTGAGGTTCACACTATGTTTCAGGGACACGCCTTTAGAAGCCTCCGGATTCTACACGTAGCTAAACTCGGTCCCCAAAAGGCTATACCCTAAACCCTAAATAAACCCACTTACACCGGGTCTCCAAAAGGCCATCGTCATGCGCCGGCGTTTTCTGCAAGTGAAGAAGGAAAAAGCGGAGAGGTTGAAGAAGAAGCACGAGGAGCCTGTCCTACAGGTTGTTAGAGCTTTTCAAAGGGTTTAGGGTTTAGGGTCCTAGGCACCGCTACAGGCGACACTTCCCCAAATCATGATAGTAACCCAGCATTCTACTATGTAGGTAGTAAGAACTCTGAAAAGGACCCTAAACCCTAAACCGTAAAGGAACCCAACATTCCACACTATAGCTATGTTGGATCGTTAAACCCTACACCGTTATAGTACTCTTATAGAAGCCCTTACAGGGACCCTTCTATATAGGTACGTTGGACCCTTAGGGCTTGCACAGCGTAGAGGAAGCCAGGGTTTTGGAGGTTTCCTGGTTTGAGGGGTCTTGCTTGGAGCAGCCTTCGGAGTTTTGTGGTTCAGGGGTTTATTTAGGGTTCCTTTGAGGGTTCCTTTAGGAGCTCTATAGGGGATCTATAAGGCTCAAAAGGGGTTTACTAATTTTACGGGTCATAGGGTCTAGTGTTTATGGTGTTTAGGGACTATAGGTTTCGAGGATTTGAGGGCTTTGGCCCCAGGGGTTGTATGTATCAAGCTCGAGATTCAGGAGTTTCAGGTTTTGAGGTCGAGAAGTTTGGGAGTGGGGTTTGACAGTTGCCAGCTAGTTGTCTGGAAATGAAGCCTTACTTGGAGGATCATGGGACTTAGTAAGTAAGATAAGTACCTGAATTGGGATTAGAAGTATAGTTATACCCTAGTTATAACCCTACCTACTAAGTCCCATGATCCTTTAAGTATCTTATCACTTAAGTAACTGTGGTTCTCCGAGCACGGCAAGAACCTTCCCAAGCTTTTTAAAATGAATGGCTTTTGACAAGCGAAGGGTTTTGGCTTGAGGGGGTCCTTGAAACTAAGACCCCATAAGACTCTGTAGTAAAGCACCCATGCAAGCCGCCTTTGTACAAATCCATCGGGAGACAACGAAGGACCGTTGTAGCACGTGTAGAAACCTGAAGAACTCATTGATTGCAGCTTCGTAAGATCAGGACGAAGCAAAGGCCCTGAACAACGCCATAAGACTCTGTGATGCCCCTTAAATGGTAAAGCCTCAGTTCTATACTCCCAAAACCCTAAACACTAAACCCTGCGATGCTTTAGATGATTCCTATGAGAGCTCCATAAGACATTAAAGCCCTATAAAGCCCTTGCAAAGCTTTTGAGCTACCTTGATGCAGCCATGTAACTCAAGACTTATAGGCGAATACCCTAAACCCCAAGCCCCAAACCGTTTGATAAAAGCGAAAGAATCCTTCACAACGTTTGATTTTCATTACACCCTTCTACTGCCCCTACAACTTAACATTTAAAGTCCAAACAACACTGAAGCCCTACACCCAAAAGTATTTGATCCGCCCGAAAATGCTAAACTTCAAACCCCGAACCCTAACCCCTGAACCCTGAACCTTAAAACCCGAACTTGCAGGATGCGCTGAAGGCACAGAAGGAGGCGGAGGAGCGGGAAAGGCTGCGACATGCCCGCAAGTTTTTGTGAGATGGGCCTTCAAGCGTTCATGGCATTCCAAGGCTTTTAAGGCTCATATTGTGTTCCAGCTTTTGTTTAAAATAGTTTTAGTGGTTCATTATAGGATGTTTGAGGTATTTTGCTAGGTGTTTTTTTACGACGAAGGTCTACTTTGAGGATACCTTTCGGATTTAGGGTTTTGAGGGTTGCGTTGCCTGAGTTTTTGTCTGCTGTTCGAGCAAGTTGAGTGTCGCTCTGATTAGTGTGCGAATGACTCCGGATTGTTTGTCGATGCAGCTGCGGGTTTTCACGATTTCCCTAAACCCTCAACCCTACACCCTCAACCCTCAACTCCAAACCCTCAAGCCTAAACAAACCCTCTTAGAACCCTCAATCCCAAACCCTAAACCCTCAAGCCTAAACCGTAGACCCGAAACCCTATTCAGGTGGACGGTTCGGGGTTAGGGTTTAAGATGGTTTAAGGGTTTGTTCAGATAGGGTATTCGGGTGCATGGCAAGCGCAGAATGCGTTCAGTCTCCCTGAACGCCTAAACCCTAAGCCCGAAGCTTAAACCCCAAACCTTACACCGCAAAGCCACACGCAAAAAAGCCTTGAGGGGAAGATGGATTCCCCCTGCCCGGCGGCAGGTGTGTCTCAGTTTTTCGCTTCACTCCTAAACCCGAAGCCCTAAACCCGTAACCCTCAAGGCTTAGGGTTTAGGGTTTTTTGGCCGGGGACCCCAAATCCTAAACCCAACATCCGAAACCGTAAACCTTTTGAGAAAACGCAGCCTGCACCTTGTCGTTTTGATAGCGACCCCTAGGCACCCTCAAGCCCTAAACCTTCCCCAGCTTTCCCATACATTTTTGTATGTAAGTATATATATATATATATACATACATATACATGTATATATGTATGTTCGTGAAGTCTTAAACCCTAACCCGGAAACCTTAACCTTCCTAAACTTTCAGACCCTAAACGCTAAACCCTCAAACCCGAACCCGTAAACCCTAAACTCGAAACTCGAGACCTTTCAGAATTTAAAGGTCAACAGAACTGGGCCTGCCTCATGGAGGCTCTCCGCAGACTGGAAAAAGGTCCTCAAACAAAACGGAAACCTTCAGACCCTAAGCCTTAAACCCTAAACTCTAAATCTTCAAACCTTAAAGAATCGATATCCGAAGCGTCCCAAGGAAGGCAGAGTTGGAGGCGGCGGTGAAGGCAGACGAGGCTCCGGTCCCTCTAAAGGGATCCTTTAAGGGTTAGGGTTTAAGGGATTAGGGTTTAAGGGATCCTATAAGGGTTCGTTTAATAAGGGATTTAAGGGATCCTTTAAAGGGTTCTTTAAGGGGTTCCTTTAAGGTTTTTACCATTGTCTTCAGCGTTAAGGGTATAGGGTTTAACGGTTTCAAGCTTAGGGATGAAATTTGGTTTAGGCGCGTTAAAGGCTTTAGGGGTGTGGGGGTTCCAAGCTTAGGGCGTGAATAGGGTTAAGAGGCGTTGAAGCTCAAGAGGGTTTCGGATTCAGGTTTTTGGCACCTCAAGCCCTAAACCCTAAATCCCGAACCCTAAAGATTTGGGCTTCTTCGGCTCCTGGGGTTAATTTCCGCATTTAGGGTGCTGCTGGCTTTCAGGGGCTGGGCCTTCTAGGTTTGGGGTTTAGGGTTTAAAGGGAACTCCAGAAAGTTGGAATAGGGTTTAGGCTTTAGGGTTTAGGGTTTAGGGTTTAGGGTTTAGGGTAATGGTAGGATCCCCTATAATTTACCTTAAAAGGGTTACGATAATGATATTCCAACTTTCTGGCTTCTGCTGTAGTGGGGTCTACTGGGAAGGCCATGAGTAGAATAAGCCCCAAGCAAGAACACAGATGTTGAATCCCCAAACCCGACTTCCCAAACCTTAAATCCCCAGCTCGATGACCTCATGAACCTTAGACCCTGCGCTTTAACTGTCTGGTGCCATCGAAGCCTTGCTGTGTGCGGAGAGCCGGCTTGCTTGGCCTCTTAAAGGGAACTCCAGAAAGTTGGAATATGGTTTCAGGGTAGGATACCCTATAATTTACCATAAAGGGTTTAGGATAATCATATTCCAACTTTCTGGCTTTTACTTTAGAGCCTGAGGCTAAGCTGAAACCCTAATCCCAGAGGCTCCACATATACTACCATTATGGAATGAGGCCACCAAAGCCATGATCAGGGTGGCCTTTTGGGGCCTGATTCCACAATGGTAGTACATATGGAGCCTCCAGGTAAACCCCAACCCCAAGTCCTAAGCCCTAGACCCAAACTACAAAGCCTGCACCGTAGACCCCAAAGCCCAAATCTGAAACCCAAAGCCCAAATCTGAAACCCCTAAGCCCCAAGCACCAAACCCCAAACCCTCAAATCCTGAACCCCAAGCCCGAAACTCCATATCCTGACCCGGATTTCGCAAGCCTTAGGGTAGCCATAAACCCTTATGGATCCCTTATAGAAGCCGTAAGCCTAGCTGATACCCTAACCCTAAATCCGAATATCCGGAATCCTGTAGATCCGAAGTGGGTCTGAGCTGCCGAAGTGTCAGTTGGGTTTATTGGAGGGCACGTGAGGATTTCTTTTCTTGATTCTTTCTCACTAAGCAGGCATGCATGACGATGTTGCAAAAACCATCGTGCCTGATGGTTGCATCACACCTCCCTCCTCCTTCTTGTGATGTGGCTGGCTCTCGTTGTCCTTGGCTAGCACCTCAAGCGACAGACACAACCAAGCCCTGAATGGAGGCAGCCTGCACCTGAAACGACGGAGACAGAGGTGTGTGCTCCCAAACATTGCGCTACTGCTTCATGAAGGGTTTCTTGCTGTGGCACGAGGACTCCGGCAGCGCTGTTTCCAAAGTTTTGGACTCAGACCGGCGCGTCCCTGCTGCGACCTTGCGTGGAGAAGCCAACCTTGGCTGCAACATGCAGCGCAAGAGCCATTGCCTGCCGAACCTCACCCTACACAGGTTGTTCCGGGACAAGAACTAAATGCCACCAGTTGAAAAGCCAAAGGAAATTTACATCATGGTGCTTTTGACATTTTCATGTTAAAGGTGCTACCTGTGAAGTGGAAAGCTAAGCTCCTACAGTGAACCCCAGAAAGTTGGAACATGGGTTTAGGAGGATTGGTGCTAGGATCGCCTATGCTTTACCTTAAGGGCATTCCAACTTTCTGGGGTTCATTGTAAGTTCTAGGTTCTGTAAGGGATCCTTTTGGAAATCCCTCAAGGTTTCAAAACTAGGCTTCAGGGCTTGGGGGATAGAAGTTGGGGTTTAGGGTTTAGGGTTAGATCCGTCTAGTGTTCAGGATTTGGCTTTCGGGATGTAGTGTCTTTAGTAAGCAGGCTTTGCAGCCTAAGGCTCTACGGAACCTCCTATAGAGGGTCAGGTATATTACCCTGGGTTCTCAATTTCGTTGGGGCTTTATGTAGAGAGCGCTTTAGGGGTTCAATGAACCTTGGGAGTTCAGTGTGGGTGTGCAGGCCTGACCCTTACCTAGAGGCTCCACATATACTATCATTATGGAACTAGGTCCCAAAAGACCACTCTTAATATGGTTTTAAGGACCTGATTCCATAATGGTAGTATATGTGGAGCCTTTGGGTCAGTCCTGAAAGCCGCAAGGCGCAGAGCCTACACCCGAAGCCCAAAACCGAACCAAACCCCCGGTGCCCAATAGTTACTTGAGAGCTTTCCAGGACCCCCCAAGCAGCTGTTGGAGGGTTCTAATTTTTTTCATGAAGAGGCAATTTCGGCTAGAATGAAGGGTCGTTGGGAGGTTTAGTTGAGCCCTCAACCCTCAGCCCTGAACCCTAAACTCTAAAAGTTAAGCCCTAAACCTTGAACCATTGGGCCCACTGCACTTAAAATAACAACTTAAACCATAAATCCTAAACTCCAAACCCTAACCCTAAACCCCCAAACCCTAAGCCCATAAACCCTAAACCCCAAACCCCAAAGCCTGAGCCCTAATCCCTAAGCTCTTGGGCCCCCAACCTGAAGTGCGAGGCCAAGAAGAAGATAAGTAGCCCTAACTATAGGTCCCTTAAAAGAGCCCTTCAAGGAACCCTTAAAAGAGCCCTTAAAGGAGCCCTTAAAGGAACCCTTATAGATCCCTTAAAGGAGCCCTTAAAGAAACCCTTAAAAGAGCCCTAGTAAGGTAGGTTCTTTAGGTCCGACGTGCTAGGCCAAGAAGAAAGCCCGCCAGAAGGCCAAGGCTTCCAAAGAGGCCGGATCGGCCTTGTCCTCTTTCATGGTTCCCCCAAAAGAATAAACAGACCGGCTAGTAGACCTTCTTAAATAATTCCTACTAAGGGATATAGGTATAGGGCTCTGTCTATTATCTCTAAAAGGACAAGGGTGGGCCGGATGCGGGGCCTTAGGCGGGGCCCTCAACCCTTGGGCTTAGGGGTTTAGGGCTTGCGGGTTTAGGGTTTAGGGTTTGGGCTTTAGGGTTTAGGGGCTAGGTTTGGGGTTTAGGGTTTAGGGGTTAGGGTTTGGGGTTTAGGGTTTGGGCTTTGGGGTTTGGGGTTTGGGCTTTAGGGTTTAAGGGTTACGGTTTGGGCTCTAGGGTTTAGGTTTTACGGCCCTAAACCCTACAGCCAAAGTCCAAAAACCCTAAACCCCCTAAGACCCTAAAACCCTAAGCCCTAAACCCTAAACCCAAACCCACCGAGCCGAGCACCTCTAGGATCCTCAACATGATTGCGGTTGCATTCCTATTCGTATTTCTTGATCAAGGGATTTTAGAGTTTCTGAGTCTCTGGCTTAGGGTCTAGTTTATCCCAAACCCTCAGGGAAACCCCAAACCCAAAAAAACCCAAACCCAACACCCCAAAATAACTTGTAAACCCCAAAGCCGTAAACCCTAAAGTACTAAAACCCATACCCCTAACCCCTATAAGACCTAAACCCCAAACTGTAAATCCTAAGCCCCAAACTCGAAACTCACAAAGCATCCTGGACCCTTCGCCTCAAAATCTAAAGTAACCTAGAGGCTCCAGATATACTACCATTATGGAATTAGGTTCCAAAAGACCATTCTTATTATGGATTTAGTGGCCTGATTCCATAATGGTGGTATATGTGGAGCCTTTGGGTAATCCACCCCTGAAAGTTGGAACATCATTATCCCCATGCCCTTAAAATAAAGTATATATAGGGAATCCTAGCACCAATCATCATTAATCCATGTTCCAACTTTCTGGGGTTCACTATAAACTAATCCATGCCTGAAATGATCCACGCCGGACCCTGAACCCTAAACCCTAAACCCAGAGGCATGGCAGGCTCCCGCCCCACCGGTGGAGGCGAGCGCAGTGCTTTCGGGGCTCGGGGACGTCGGAGTTTGTCTAGGGTTTAGGCTTTAGGGTTTAGAGTTTGTCAAGGAAGCTTACTTGGAGTGCGGTTATAATTGGGGTAATTCCAGGTACTTATATATAACTCTACTTATAGCCTACTTACTAAGTCACCTGCCCCTCCATGTAAGATTGTTACAAGCTTTTCGGCTTTTTGGATTGGGTTTTGATAGGGTTATGATGTCCCGGTCCTGTTAACGTTATTATCTCGGGAAATAATAAATAATGGGATTATTTTGAGATTGCAGATGGAATCGAGGCACTCAGGCAATCAAACAAGCAATGGGAAAACAATGGAAAAAATATGGGATTGGAATCCCGTGGCATTTTGACTTCCATGTTTCTCCGATTTGGTTGCAGGGTGCACTTGGCATCTGATTTTTGTTTCATTTTTTTTCCATAGTTCCCGTGCGGCCCCGATCCATCTCATGTTTTTCCCATTTTTCGTTCCATGTATTTTCCATGTTTGGTTCCATTATTTTTCCATTATTTTTTAATTTTTTTGATTTTTTTCCCAAATGCTTCAGGGAATTCGTGTTTTTTCCAGGATGGAGGCCACCTGGGACGGGGCCCAAATCACACCCCCACGCAATGGAAAAAATTGGGGAAAAAAGCAAATTCAGAATGCTGGTCCAGGGTGGTCCTTTTTTGAACCTGTCGCCCCTGATGCCCTGGCCCTGGCAGTTTGTGTTTGTTTGCATTTGATTTATTTTTGATTTTTTTCCATGTTTGGTTTCGTTTTTTTGTTGTTTTTTCCATTCCCTGTGTCGGTCCTGGTCTCTTGTTTTGATTTTCGGTTCCATTATTTTTTCATTCCTTTTCCATTTTTATTGTTCGTGGTTTTCATAGAGTTATCAGGCGAGGGGCCATCTTAATGATAGGGGTTTCGGGACTTTTCGATTCGTTAATAGAGTGTCGGTGTGGCTTGTAGAGATTACGATGTTGTTCAAGGGTTGTTTGGAGGTCTTGATTGGGTTTTCCAGGGTTTTGTAGGTGTTAGGGGTTTAGGGATTGTTGATATAGGGAATAGGGCCGGCTTAAGATTTAGGAAATGTGGCTTTCGAGTGTCGGGGTTTTCAGTTGCGCCAATGTGTGGAGCAGTCGCCTCCATGTGGTAGTCAACGTACTGTTGATGGACAAAATCCTGCATGACCCTAAGGACTCTAAACTATGGGAACTATGGTATATTCCTTATAATGGGTAATGCAGGATTTTGTCCATCAGCAGTATCATGGCATGTTGCGGAACAATCTGCTCCAGCCACGATACTTCTGCATCAATCGATACGTCGACAACCGCAGCCGCAGAGCTACAGGGAGACTTCGTTCTGCTTGCGCTCTATGAAAGGCCTGACAGATGCATTTCATTGGTATAGTTGGAAATGCAGCCATGTTGATTTGAAGCCACTTGTCACAGGTGTGATGTGGTGTGCAAAATGATTTTGCATACCATTCGCATGCCCGACGATGCCACCCACCTGGTCATCTTCACGCCGGGTGCCGGGACTATGCTGCTGCAGGCAGTACGACTCAGGGTAGGGATTCAAAGATCTCGACGCTACCGCGCGTGACTGGGCAGCGCCAGGTAATTAGTGTGGTGTTGACTGCCACCACTGCCGAAGGTGTGGATGTGGGCGATCTTGGAACAGTTTGAGGGCGGCCGAAGGGTGACATGGTAAGTCGTCAATTTAGACCGCTGTTTCTTTAAAGCCCCAAACCCGAAACACAACACCTGAAGCCCGAAACCCAACCATATCACAAACTAAAGCTTCTAAGTCCGAGTAGCCTGATCAACAAGCCATAGCAGATCCATAAGGACCCCTAGCTGAAGCCCTAAACGGCCCTAAACACCATGATCCTCATGACTCGCAACCCCAGTTAAACTCTGCGCGCGTTATTGTAGCGACCCCTAAACCTAACTAAGCCCTAAGCCCAAACTAAACCGTAAACCCTGAACGCCAAACCCTAAAGCCTGAAAGCTACCCTAAACCCTAAACCCTAAGCAATAAACCCTAAACCCTAAACCCTAAACCTAAACCTTAAGCCTAAGCTTTAAACCTTCAAGACCCCTTAGGCCTTCCATTGGCTTCCTTCCCCAGTGCACTGCCATCCCCATTTGGGTTTTGGGGACCTACTTCTAAAATCGTAGTGTGTATGGACCGTCTGCGTTCCTATACCCTAAACCCTATAAACCCTACAAACCCTATAAACCCTAAGCCCAAAACCCTAAAACCCTAAACCCGAAAGCCCCTAAACCATAAACCCTAATGAAGCACCATAATCGTACATGGATCCTCTTGGTTTGGGCGCAGGCATCGCCTGCCCCTCCACCGCCGGCAGAGCCGCCGACGGAGCCTGGAGATGCGCAGCCGGCACAGGAGGAGACCATTTTGGGGTGAACAGATTAAGGGGCTATGGCAGGGATCCTACTATACTTTCAAGGTATATTACGGTATATTCAAGAGGAGACCATTTTGGGGTGAAGGGATTATTCAAGAGGAGACCGCGGAGCCTTCCAGGGTTGTTTCGGTTAGGTTTGGGGTTTAGGGTTTAGGGTTTCGGTAAGGGTTTGGGGTTTGGGGATTAGGGTTAAGGGTTTGGGGTTTCGGTAAGGGCCTGGGGTTTGGGGATTAGGGTTAAGGGTTTGGGGTTTCGGTAAGGGTTTGGGGTTTGGGGATTAGGGTTTAGGGTTTGGGGAGTTTGGGGTTTCGAGGTTTGGGGTTTGGGTGTTAGGGTTTGGGCTTAAAGGGTACTCAGTAACTAGCTATTGAATGGAGTTGTTTCAGTCGGGTTGGGGGTTTGGTGGTTAGGGTTTGGGGTTATAGGGATTCTTGCAGTTGAGGTTTCCGGTTTGATAGGGTTAAGGTTTACGGTTGAGGGTTTGGGGTTGAGGGTTTTGGGTGAAGTGTGGAATTGGGGTTTAATTCAATATCCTGAAATAATTGAGTTCCTCAACTTTCCTTTGCACGACTTGGGAAAGGTGACATCTTCTAGGTTTCATGTATGGGAATTAGTAAGTAGATTGGGGTTTCGGGTTGTAGTACCCTAAACCCTAAACCGTGAACCCTGTACTAAAGTTGCAACGAGGAGCGGTAAGGAGAAGGTTCAATTGCTACAACAGAAGCCTCAAAGTTTGAAACCCAACAACTTCAATCCTTAAGAGGAATGTTTATGGGGATCCCAGCACAAATTTTCCTCAATCCGCTTTCTGACTTTTTGGGGTTTACGTTAATTCTTGAGGCTTCGATGGTCGTGGAACCCGTGTGACGTCCTTGTAAAGAGCGCTGGCATAGAGCCCGATAGACTTCTTCAAAGAACCCTAGGGGTCACCGAGGCTTCTATCCCTTAGGGATCAAAATAGCCCCAAAAGCCTTGTGTAGTATGCTCTTTGGGCCCAAACGCCTTAATATATGAGTCCTTAGATCCCTAGGGTATATGTTATGCTGAGGCCATAAGCGCTTCATACCTGATTGTCCCCAGTAGTCTTGATCCTTGCGAGTTGCCGCCTTATGGTTCAGTGTTTAGGGTTCAGGGCTTTCCGATATTAACCGTAAACCCTAAACCCTAAACCCCTAACCCCTAAACCCTTAACCCCTAAACCCTAAAATCCCCAGACTCTTGAGTCTTGGGTTGAAGATTTAATGGCCCTCAGTAGAAATGCCCAAGCCGTATGGCTCGAGACCTGGCAAGTCTGAGCTTTGGGTTCATGGTTTGGGTTTAGAGTTCAGGATCTAGGGTTCAGGGTTTCCGGGTTTGGGACCTATGGTTCAGGATCCATGGTTTAGTCTTCAGGGTTTAAGATGTACGGGGTTTAGGGTTAAGGATCTAGGGTTTAGGCTTTATGTCTCGGATTCAGCAGCTGGAGGTGCAGCAGTTTCTAGTCGAGATCGCCACTATTTTTCTGTTATTCTTGAGCTCTCTCGCTTAAATGCTAAGCACTAAAGCCTAATGCCTGAACCCTAAGGCTTATAAGACTTCAATCCTAAACCGTCTATAGATATAACTGCTGCGCTTGTTGGGGTGTGGGACAACAGGAGTTTTTGCTTCTTGGAAGGGCTCAGCACATGTTCGTATTGACTAGTAACCCTAAACCCTAAACCCTAAACCCTAGACCCTAAACCCTAAACTCCAGATCCAGAGCCTTCAACCCCAAACCCAGAACCCTAAACCCTGAAGCCTGAAGCCTAAACCCTATAAACGCTACATCCTAAACCTTAAACCCTGAACCCTGAAGCCTAAATCCTGAAGCCTAAACCCTAAACCCTGAAGCCCAAACCCTAAACTGGCTTCGACCTTGAACCCCAGAACCCAGAACACCCTAGAACCCGTAAGGAGCCGCCTCCTGCAGCGAAGGCAGGAGCTCCAGCCCAAAGGTTAGGGCTTGGGCTTTAGGGTCTAACGTTTTGGTTCAGGCTTGAGGGTTTAGGGTTTTAGGATAATTTAGGGTTTAGGGGGCTTGGGGTTTAGTGTGCAGGGTTTTAGGGTATAGGGTTCAGGGTTTAGGGCTTTGGGTTTAAGGTTAAAGGGTTGTAGGGTTTCCGGTTTTAGAGTCTAGAGCGGATGGGGTCCTTAGAAATTCTATGCTAAGGTTGATATGAGACAACGGGCTGCAAACAAGTGCAGTCGAGTTTGATCGGGTTGTAAGGGCCTAGATTGTTGAGGATAGGGTTTCTAGGGTAAAAGGTTTTAGTGTTCCCAGCTGACAGTCCCCTCTTCCTCCCGACACAAGTAGGCCATGGGGCTTCCTCCAAAGCATAGGGATCCTTAGGGGTGTAGGGGGAGGGGGTAGGGGGCCTTAAGGCCCATAATAAGGACTAATAAGGCCCATTTAAGGAAATATAGTCCCCTACACCCCTCCCCCTACACCCCTAAGGATCCCTATGATTCCTCCAAAACTGAACAGTCTTGCAAGTCAACCGTGTAGTAATTACTCCGCAAGCCTGCGCGGGGTAAGCCAGACTTTCAGGCAAGAGTCTGTATGCCAGATACTACTAAACCCTAAACCCTAAACCCCTAAACCCTGAACCCTAAACCCCTAAACCCCTAAACCCTAAACCCCTAAATCCCTAAACCCTAAACCCTTAACCCCTAAACCCTCAACCCTAAACCCCTAAACCCTACCTGTGGCCCTAAACTTTGACCTTAAGCCCTAGACCGATGGACTCCCCCAACCCAAAAAAGCAACCCTCAACCCTATACGCCTTAAAGCCTCATCCCCAGAACTCTAAACCCTAAAACCCTAAACCCTAAAACCATAAACCCCAAACCCTGAACCCCAAACCCTAAATCCCTAAACCCTAAACCCTATAATCTTATGTGTATGCAGTTTAATGACCGGGCTTTTGCATATTATGCAAATGCCCACCAAACTCATTGGGCAAATTGCCCAAACATGCAAATGCCCACCAAACTCATTGGGCAATTTTCCATTTGGTCAACCATTTTTGCCCCACATTTTTCGCATAAAACATTTGCCCAATGAGTTTGGTGGGCATATGCATGTTCGGGCCATTTGCCCAATGAGGTTGGCAGGCATATGCTCTTGCAATTTCGTGGGCATTTGCATTTTTCGGGCGCCCGCTAATTTGCATATTTTGAAGCCTAGCCCAGCCCAGCCCAGGCCAGTGGGCCCAGCCCCCAGCCCCCAGCCCCCGGCCCCAACCTAGCCCAGCTGGGTCCAGGCCAGCAGCCTAGCAGCCGAGCATAGCCCAGCCAAGCCAGCCAGCCCAGCACAAGTTGTGTTAACAAAATGGGGCGCTTGGTGCCGTCGCTTGTGCTGCAATGTTGATACGAATAATCTTTAAGGCGAACATTATCTGTGTCTGTTGTGTAGTTTCTGTTCCAGTCATGGGCGTGTGCAAAAAGCGACTACGCCATGTGTTTTTTCGTCTTAAGGTTTATTGCTGTTCCAACTAAAACAATACGATAGATTTTTTTAATATCTTAAGTAGGCCTAGAGATGCAACTAGGTGGAACAAGCGGTGGTTTACGATGACTGGGTATAGAAGGCTGGCCAATAAAGTTAGTCAAAAACATATTCTGTATGTTATGGGATTCTAAGGGTGGGTGAGTGTTATATCGGAGACGTAAAAACAACTTGACTGTACAACTGCTCGACCAGGAGCTGCTGAACCCTCAACCCCAAACCCTGAACCCCAAACCCTAAACCCTAAACCCTAAACCCTAAATCCTAAATCCCTAAGCCCTAAAACCCTAAACCCTGAACCAAAGGGTTGAGGGCCCCGACCTCAAAGGGGCCCCTGTGCATTCAACGCCACAGCCCCCCAAAGCTAGGCGCCGATGCCATTGGACATCGATGCCATCCAGGATTCAAAGGGCTCAAATAGGGTTTAGGGTGTAGGGGGTTTAGGGTTTAGAGTCTAGGGGTTTAGGGTGTAGGGGCTTAGGGTTTAGGGTGTAGGGGTTTAGGGGTTCAGGGGTTTAGGGTTGAGGGTACCTTATCCCTGAATATCCTAACCTTTAACGACTCATATAATCAAATCATACTAAGGAACCCTATAAGGGAAGGTTTCTTGGGCTTCGGGCAGGGTTTAGGTTGTAGGGTTTGATTGTTTAGGGTTTCAGGTGGGATAAAGGTATGTAGGATGATCCACAATTAGTTAAAAGCCCCTGTATCGCGGATCCTTCATCCCACCTGCGGTTGATGATATAAATCCTGCATTACCTTATGGCCCCTAAACCATGGGATTTATGGTATATTCCTTACTATGGGCAATGCAGGGTTTATATCATCAGCCCTAAACCCTAAACCCCCTATAGATCCCTTAAAGTCACCCCTGAAAGGTACCGGTATAGATCCCTTTGAAGGAACCCCAGGATTTATATCATCAACCGTACCTTCATCCCACTTTTGAGGCCCCTGAAGGATCCATTCCAAGGTTTAGGGTTAACACGCAGAACTGCTGTAGTAGAGCTTAGGGGTTTAGGATTGAGGGATTTAGGGTTTAAGGGTTCAGGGCTCAGGGTTGTGAACTTTGGGTGAAAGGTTTAGGGGATCCGTTCTGAAATGTTGCTTTGGGCTTGAGGTTTATTGCTTTGCAGCCTGCCCCCAGAAACTTCCACACCTCGTAGTAAAGGAACTGGGCTTTGGAGTACCATACTTTAATACTTGTTTTCTTAACGGAACCAGTACAAAATGAAAGTTTATACTACTTTCTCCCTGGTTACTTAAAAGCCCAGGGAATACCTTACAGTAGTGAGGAGCAGCCCGTGATTTTAGTTTTGAGGGCGTTTCGAGTCCCTGGATCGTCCTCCATATACGCACCAATGGTAAAGAAGGGGCTGGCACATCTTGGTCTTTGCTAGGGTTCTTTAGATGAATTCAAGCATTTAGGGTTATAGGACCAGGGCCAGGGTTTCTTCATCAGGTTCCCATAGTAGGGTGATTGAAGCTGGTTTGGGAGTGAAGGCTTGTGAGTCTAATTTAGAGTCTTACATGAGGTAGGTTTTGTGTCCTTTGTGTTCTGGAAGCTTGGAGTTCAAGGTTTAAGTACTGTCGTGAGTCGGTTGTAGGGTTCAGGGTGTTGGGCCAAGGTTTATGGCTTACGGTTTGAGGTTTCATGGTGTCGGAGCTTCAAGTTTTAGGGCATGGTTTTTTTGCAGGTCTCTGTAGGGTTCGATGATGTTCAATGTTTCAGCATCTGATTAGGGATTATAAGGTTAAGGGGTTTGGGGTTTAGGATTTCAGAAGTCCCCGCGTATATCCGTACAAACATGAACGTGTGGCAGAATGTAGCGTCGTTCAACACGATTCCAACTTATTGGTTTCCATGTCGCCGGAAGCCAAGCCGATTGCATGCTTTGCTTCCGGAGTCCGAGTATGAGTTCTGAAGGGGGAGGTAGACACTAATCAATAGTCGCTAGCCCTGAATCCTTAGCCGTTCATCTTCAGCGGTGCACCCTGGGTCGGAAGACTGCGAAATTGCTTACCTCAGCAATATTCGTTAGGTTTATTTTGAATATGATTTAAGCGTCTTTCGTAGTCAAGGGATTTTGGAGTTTCCCATCCCATAAGACCTAAGCCCGAAGCCCCTCGTACAGCCCCAATTCAAGACGTCATAAAGCGCCATCAAACCATATAAACCCCTTCACAGAGCCCGAGAAAACGAGACCCGAACCCTCAAACCCTAAACCCGAAACCGCTAAACCCCAATAACTCCAAACCCTAAACTCCGAACCCGTAAACCCTGAACCGGAGAGGAGACCCACGTGGAGGAGGAAGAGGAAGCCGAGGGTGAGGAGGCGTCGGACTAACTCCAAGGGATCTAAGCACTGTGAGCCTTCTTGAGTGAAAAAGCACCTAAAACCCAAAACCCTAAACCCGGTTTAGGGTTTCGGGATCAGGCGTCGGATTTAGCGGGTTAGGGGATTAGGGTTGACGGTTTGGTGGTCGGGCCCTTATAGTACCGATCCTATAACTTCCTTAAATTTGAACTACCAAACCCTACTTTTTTGTAGGTTCTTATCATAAACCCTAATATGGAATTTATAGGGACCCTACAAAAAAGTAGGTTTGGGTAGGTTAAGGTTGACAGAACTTGCTGCACAGTTCCGACCCTGCAAGTTTCAGCATGAGCCGTAGGCCAGGAACACCAAGACCCCAAACTCAAAGACTGTATGCTTATGTAAAATTCCTGTGCCTAACCGCTACATGCTGGTTAGTATAGGGATTCGGCGTAATACCAGTCATGCTTCAGTTTCAGCATTCGCCCAAACCGCATTGACATAAGTAAGGCCCTCTGTAGGAGGTGCCAATCTTCAAAGTTACGACCCGAGTCTTCCACGTGCTACACCCGCTTGTGCTCCCTTCTTCCACGCCTAAAGATTTAAATCCAAAACCATCAGCCAGAAAACTGCTGGGTAGATTAAGTCCTTGCACTGGAACTCGCGATGCACTCCAAAGGCTTAGGGGCATTCCATCCTCCTCAACCCCTAAGTTCGTTTATCACCAGAGCCCGAACCATGAATCCCTAAGCAGTAACCTGAAAGATGCGAAAACCCCGAACTCCGTAAACCCAGACCCCCTAGACTCCGTCGATCCTCCGGCGCGACGCTCTAAAAACCTAAAGGCTTTAGCACCCTCGGACCTCAAAGACTCTACACCCTAAACCCTATGCCCTTATAGAATCCCTATAGATCCCTTGAAAGGGACCCTTAAATGAGCCCTTAGAATAAACCCTGACAGGGTTTATTCTAAGGGCTCATTTAAGGGTCCCTTTCAAGGGCACTGAGCACCTGAAGCCCAAATAACCTACCCTTTTGAGGACTTATATAATATTCACAATAAGGAGCCCTAGAAAGGTAGGTTTTCTAGGGTCCAGGTAAGCGCTAAACCCAAGACCCCTGTCCGAAACCCCACACCCGAACCTGCAAACCCAAAAATCCAAAAGCCATACGTAGCGGAAGACCCAGAATGCTAAGCCCTATATATGCCCTAAACCTCAAGCCCCTAAACCGTAAACCGCCAAACCCTAAACCCCTAATCACTAAACCCCTAAACACTAAGCCCTAAACCAGAATCCTAAGACCGGCGACCTGGCTATTACTTTAACTGCTCAGAAATCCTCTGCCCTGAATTTTCAACCTACCTCCGAAATCCAGAAACCCAACACCCGGTCCTAAACCCTAAATCCCTTTGTTTAGGGTTCGGGGTTCTCCATGAGTTTACTGTTCAGGGTTCAGGGTTTCGGGTTGAAGGTTAAGGGTGCTATAGGGGTTTAGGGTTTAGGGTTGTATGGTTTAGGATTTAAGGCACAAGCACTACTAGGTACCTGAGTAAGAAACTTTCACGAATGTTTTGCCTTTTTCATTTCAGTGTCCCCCTATTAAAACCGAATACTGTAGTAGGAAACAGGATACTCTTATTATAAGGGGGCTAGGCAAGAGCCTAGACTATACCCTAAACCCTGAACCCCAAATCCTAAGGCCCTGGACCTAACCAAGCACTATTCACGACCAGGAGCCGCTTGAAGCCTCGAACAAAGAGCTACCTACTATTCCCCCTCGGGATCAAAACAGCCCAGAAGCCTTATATAGTATGGTCTTTGGGCCCAAAAGCCTTTAGTCCTTAGATCCCTAAGGTTCCTTAGGGTTCCTTAAGGTTTGGGGTTTAGGGCCATGCAGGAGCCCCAAAACCCTATACCACTTACGAAGACCCCTCTTCTATAGCCTTATAGAGCCCTTGAAGGGAACCTTTTCTTTAGGAAACCTGTTGTTATAATCATTGAGGCCCCCTACTTTACCCCAAACCTCAAACCCTAAAACCCTAAACCTTAAACCCCAAAAGCCCCACACATTAAACCCCTAAAACCACTAAACCCTAAACCCTCAACCCCAAGACCATAACCACGAAAACCCTACCCGTAAACGACAAACCGTAGACCCTAGACCTCAAAATCCCTAAACCCTCAGCTTCCTTTATAGAGCCCTTTGAGGAACCCCAATGAAATCCTAAAGCCCTAAACCCGAACTTGGAGGCCCAGGGCACTTAGTAAGTAGGTGATAAGTAGAGTTTTAAGTCCTCTCAATTGGAGTTACCCACACTATAACCCTACTTGTAACCGACTTACTTAATTAGAGTTACCCAACTTTATAACCCTACTTGTAACCGACTTACTAAATCCCCTGATCCTCTAAACCCTAAACCCTTAAAAGCCCCCTTAAGGGAGCCCCTCAGGGAACCTGAACCTTGAAAGGTAAATGGACCCAGTCCCCTGGGCCTCCAAGAAAGCCCGCCCCAAGCCCTAAACCTTAAAGCCTGAAGCCTAAATCCTAAGCCGCCAAACCAACATCCTTAAGCCCTGAGCCCAAAACCGCTGAAACCTAAGACCCTTACCCCAACATCCTGGAGCACTAAGCCCAAGAATGAAGCCTAGCTTTACTTTCTATGCCACTTCAAACGGGGTGTGCTTTTTTCTTAGTGCAAGCCCAAATCGGGCAGGGAGTCAGCAGTGCGAAAGTCCCAATGCACCGTTTAAAAAAAGAAACCCCAAACCCTAAACCCCTACCCCAACATCCTTATAACTAAGCCCTAAGCCCCAAAAAACCCTGAAGCCTAAGCCTTAGATCCTTACCCCAACATCTCGCCCAACCTAGTAGTAGAGTACGTAGGTAACCTTTAACCTTTTTGGGTAGTATAGTCCTTATGTAACCCCTATAGAACCAAAAAGGTTAAGCTTTAGTTCCCCATGCTACCCGACAAGAAGGGTATATAAGGTGACCCTGATATATACGCCAAAAAACAAAGCATCCTTATTATAAGGACCCCAAAATAAGGGACCCCTATTTTTTTCGGAAACTCATCCTTAAATCATATTGGGGATCCTACGATAATTTATGGTATAATCCTGGATTCCCCATAGATCCCTTTAAGGAACCCTTTAAGGAACCCTAACTCCCATACAAGAAAGCCCAAAGCCGCGAGGCTCTAGAGGAGAGTGAGGAGCGGGTCGAGACCGAGGCATGGCCAGCCCAGCCAAGGGTTCCTTTAAGGGATCTACAGGGGTTCCTTTCAGGGATCTATAGGGGTTCCTGTAAGGGATCTATAGGGGTTCCTTTAAGGGATCTATAGGGGTTCCTTTAAAGGATTTATAGGGGTTCCTTAAAAGGCGATGTAGGGTTCCTTGAAAAGGGTTCCTTTAAGGGATCTATAGGGGTTCCTTTAAAGGGGGATGTAGGATTCCTTTAAGGGATCTATAGCGGTTCCTTTGAAGGGGGATGTAGGGCTCCTTGAAAAGGGTTTAGGGCTTCAGGGTTTAGGGGTTTAGGGTTTAGGGCTGAGGGTTCCTGTAAGGGAACCTTTAAGGGATCTATAGGGGTTCCTTTAAGGGCTCCTTTAAAGGGATCTATAGGGATTCCTTCAAAGGTCCGGAGACTCCTTAAAGGGGATCCTGCTTAGGGTTAAGGGTTTAGGGAGCTCGTTGAAACGGCTCATCTTGAAGTTTTGCTTTAGGTTTTAGGCTTTGGCGTATCGGGTTTGGGGTGGGGTTACTATACTTGGAGGGGCAGGGGACGTAGTAAGTCGTTTATGAGTAGGGTTATAACTGTGGTGACTCCTTTTAGGTACTTATAACTCTACTTATAACCTACTTACTAAGGGTTTTGGGTGAGAGCGCTCTGCAAGCTGAACTCTAGCCCCAGCAGTATGCAGGCCGAGATTCTATCCGACGCAGCTGGCGGACACGGGCAGTGACTGGGATTAATTAGGGCTTGGGTTTAGGGTTTAGGTTTAGGGTTTAGGGTTCAGGGTTCAGGGGTTTAGGGCTCTAATGAATTACGACATTATTGCTTAGGGTTCGTGGATCGAACCTATGCCAGCAGGTACCCCAAGCCCTATTATGTACTCTACGGCCTCATCTTAGGTAACTTATGCCGTCTGCTGTGCAAAATGCGAACAGACCCAAAAGGACTCATACGACAGGTGGCCCTAAACCCTAAACCCTAAACCCTTAACCCGAATCTCCTGCGAGGCTCTTGGGTTGAGGTTTAGGGTTTAGAGTTCGGGGCTCAGTTCCCACAACACCCCCACGAGGCTCTATACTCCCATGATGGAGTTAGGTCCCAAAGGTCCGCAAGACCGTTCTTATTATGTTTTTAGGGGCCTGATTCCATAATTGTAGTACAGGTTAGGTACGGCCCCCTTACAGTAAGAGTCTATAATAGGGCCATTATTAAGGTCCTAATATATTTAGAAAAGGAATATTATTCAACTATTACTGAGTGGGGGCCGTACCCAAAGTATAGGTGGAGCCTCTGCGGCTGCAGGCATCGATTGGGGATTGTGGACCTCACAGCCGGTATGCGGCGTTCCAAAACCATAAGCGGATCGATGTTTTTTCTACAAGCTAACGGATTTCGGAAACTGAAACACAATCTTAGACCCATTGAAGAACCTGAAAAGAACCCCTGCCAAACTCTGAAACAACACTAAAAACTTGTATCGAATTCGTATTCAACCCTTGTTTTTCTCTACCTCTCTGAACATCCTTATGACTTGTGAGCATCTTCCTAGCCCCGTATCAAAATTCTTCAGAAGAGGGACCCTAAGCCTAAGCGTTCCAAGGTTCTCAGCACGCTCCCTTTCAACTTAATTCAGCCCTGAACCATCAAACCTACTGTACGGTCCTTAATGATTGTAAGGTCCTTCATAATTGGATTTGGGTTTTGGGCTCTTTATAGTATAAATACCAAACGAATAATTTGGGTAATTATGCAGGCTTCTATTTAGCCCTAAACCCTAAACCCTAATTCCTTCTGACAATGCAGTCGGAAAAGGGCCCGAACAAAATCCAAGGTTCAGCACAGCAGACGTCAAGGGCCGGTTGCCGGTGCACGCCGGGGCGGTGTCCAAGCGCCTGGACACCATGACGTTGCCACTTGGCTAAGGTTTGTTTTATATTACCCTGAGGGTCCAAGTACCTCATGATCATATACTTTCCTAAATATTGAGCTACATACCTACTATCCTAAGCCCAAGTACCTAGTTATTGGGCCCTTTGCACCCTTAGGGTTTGGTTTAGGGTCTCTAGGGTCCCTTTCAAGAGCTCCGTCAAGAAGGGTTCGATGCAGGTTCTTTGAAGTATTTCGAGGGGGGTTTAATCGCAAGGGTTTCTGTAGGGTTTAGAGCCTTTCGGGCTGTCAGGGTTTTGGGCTTGATATGCTTTTAGGTTTGAGGGTGCAGGGCTGTAGGTTCAGGGTTTTTTTGCCCATGGTCTACTGAATGAGCCTGAACGCGAAAGTCCTTGATACATCTGATGAACCCCCGGCACAAAGTCCCAAACTGGGACCACTAAACCTTAAACCCTAAACCCTACTGCAAACCCTTAAACCCTAAACTCCAAACCGTAGCCTATGCCTTAGCCGCTTAGCCGTAAAGTCTCGGAATCTAAATCCAAACCCGGCTTTGGAGGTCTACCAAGTTAGTAGAAAACATCTTGGGTTGTCCCCATACCCAGGCCCTCCTAAACCCTATGGATCCCTTGCGAAGTGCCGGATCTCCAATCCGAACCATCCGCCGAGCCCAGCCTGAACCAAGGCTCTTGGAGCTCCGGGCCAGCGTAAACGCCGTGGACAAGGAGTGTAGGGTTCAGTATGTAGGGTTTCGGGCCCCTTAGGGTTTAGCGTAAGGTTCGGTGTGTAGGGTTCAGGGTGTAGGCTTAAGGGCTTGGTGTGTAGGACGTAGTGTGCAGAGTTTAGCGTGTAGGGGTTAGGGTGTCGGGTTTAGGGTTTAGTGTGCAGGGGTTAGGGTTTTGGGTGAATGAGGGTTTTGTATTTCTACTATCTGCAGAGCTCGTATTTAGGGTCTTCAGGGTTTAGGATTCAGGGCTTTGTAAAGGGGTTACAAGGATGCTAGATGCTTTTATTGCAGTTTCGGACGTAGGATTTTGGATTTAAGGATTTTTTGGTTCGGGTTTACTAGAAACAACTACCAACATTATTCCTGATGGTTCCTTGTTGTAAACAGACTATAAAAGGGAGCCCAAGACCCTATTCTAATCAATCAGTAAGGCCCCTAGCGTAGGGCTACGGTTGGGGCTTCAGTTGTTTGTTGTGTTGTTTCTTGTCATCTGTTTGGATAGGCGGTGAGGCGGTGTTCTTGGTTGGGGCTTGGTAGGAGTCATAGACATATTTCACCGGGACTGTGGGTTCAATTGAAACGGGTTCGTACGCAGCTTGCTTTAAGGCTGAGGGTCCATATCTCAACAAGGCCTGCATGCCGAACACTACCGCAGCCAAAGTCCTCTTTATCCCTCTCCGAAACCCTAAACCCTAAACCCTAGACCCTACACTTTACTTAAACCCCTAAACCCTCTGAACCCCTAAACCCCCAAACCCTAAATCTTTGAAGACCCTAGTACGCCAAACCACGAGACCTCGGCGCAGTTGGGTGGCCCCCTCCAGTAGTGGATTTTCTGCTGGCAGACCGCAGAGGCCCTAGAAAAAATAAGCAAAAAACCCTAACCCAGACCCCCTTTGGAGGATCCAAAAAGTAGATCCCTTAATGGGGGGTTCCTATAAAGTACCCTTAGTAGTATAGGGCCCCAAATTAGGGGATCTACTTTCTAGATCCTCCCGGGGGTCTGGGAAGCACGCAAGTATGATTTTTCTGAAAGCCAATAATGGGCCTTCCCCCCCCTGGTTCTGAGGAGTACCACTATTCCCTTACGGGTTCCTTTAGGGGCTCCTTTATGGGGTTAAGGGCTCCAGGGGTCGAGGGTTGAGAATTTAGGGTTCAGCACTACTACGGTTGATGATATAAATCCTGCATTACCCATCATAGGGAATATGCCATAATTCCCATAGTTTCGGGTCCTTAAGGTCATGCAGGATTTATAACATCAACCGTAGTTTCCTTATCGCTCCAGTGTAATAACTACGGTAATGGAGGAACCTGATTAAGAAACCTTGGGACTTTATTAGGGTTCCTTATATGAGCCCTACTATTTTGGGGTTATAGGCCCAGGGTTTCTTAATCAGGTTCCTACAATATACTAAACCCAACCCTAGGCCCCTTCTTCGTTGTTTAGGCCCCTGTAACTTTTCCGAAAGCGGCCCTTATAGATACTCTTTTGCGGGAAACCCGTTGCTTCGGGTCTGAGTAGGTGGCCTTTAACCTCTTTGGGCGTATATAGTCCTACCAGAATTCACGTCCAATTGGACCGCTATGCTTGGAAGATGCTCTGAAGATGCTGCAGCTGCTTGGTTCTTCTCTTCGTGCTACCGAAGAAGGCCTGATCCAAACCATGCTAGTCGATGACAATCTCAAGAGCGTGGTCGCCTGTCTCTATGGCATAGCAATTCTTGAGTGTCTTGACAATTGCGGTTTCCAGCCCAATATTTGGATTACACGTGTGTTGAATGCTGTGCCTTTGGGGTATTACTCGGCCATCTTGGATCCCAGCCGGCAATCACATCCTCCAGTGCCGGTGGAGGTAATGAGCCTTCAGAATTAAGCTCCGTAATGAAGGAGAGAGAGAAAGAAAGAGAGAGTGGACCTTCATTCTTCCGACCTTGCCACGGTGTGAAACCCTCAGAACTATAGTAAACTCCATAAAGTTGGAAGCCGGATTAAGGCCAAATAGTGCTGGGATTACCTTTTCATGACTCTTAAGGATGGAGGCTATTGGGTTTCCAACTTTTGGGCTTCTACTGTTAAAAGGTTACATAACTCCCTAAACCCTAAGCCGTTACATAACCTTTTTGGGCTAGGATATTCAGCCCCTCAGTTGAAGACGCCGAAAGCTCTATAGCAACCCTTATAGAAACCCCAAAGGAGAGCCCTTAAGGAACCCTTACGGGACTAGTAATGTCGGAAGCTGATTAAGAAACCCCGGGCGCAAAAGCCCGGAAAATAGTAGGACTCATGTAAGGAACCCTAATTAAGGCCCAAGGTTTCTTAATCAGGTTCCTACGTAATTATTAATTATAGTACCCTTTTGGATCCCTTATAATAACCCTTCTAGACCACTTTTAAAGGAACCCTAATACAGTTTAGGCTTTAGGGAAGAGTAGTACTACTTTAAGGCACCGAAATCTTGGCCAGGAGGGCAACACACCCCTGATCCTCGCAGCCCGCCTGGACGACCGTTGGATGGTCGAGGCACGGTTTACAGGGGTTAAGGGGTTTATAGGGGTTTATAGGTTTAGGGGTTTACGGGTTTACAGGGGTTGAGGAGTTTGTAGGGGTTTAGGGGTTAGGGGTTTAGGGTTTTAGGTGTTTAGGGGTTAGGGGTTTAGGGTTTGGGGTTTATGGCCCTGTCGCCAAAGGTTGGGGTTTACGGGTTTGGGTTTGGGAAATATAGTTGTTGTAGGGTTACATGTTGCAACATACTATCATAGCCCACAGGCCCATTCCAATTACTAAAGCGTCTTTATATTTCCAACATGTCTTCAACGAGGTTTTGAATAATGGCTTGTCGGGGGGTCTGTAGGGTTTCGCAGAGTGTCAACAACGGTCTTGACTTGTATCTGGGCTGGGGTTCAGGATTTTGTTTCAAAGCGGTCTCAGGGTCCAGGGGTTTGATTTGGGGTCAGTTGCCTCGCACCGCGAACCCTGGAACCCTAAAGCGCGTTTGACTCTGATACCCTATCCCAATCCGAAAGCGGCTTGCGCTGGCATTTATGAACGCAACCTGTGCTGCGCAGGGACCGGAAATCGCGCCGTCATTTTGGCTAAAGCAACGATACCCAAACCCTAGGGACACTCCTGTAGGTATCGGTCTCCAGAGCTACGTTCGGGTACCTACTAGTGTGAGTTTGGTTCCTTCATTCTGTTTGGGTTACTATAAGGGTTAATTAGTATAGGGGCTTTGTTGATTACAACAGGGTGTTGAGGTCCATTTCAGGAATTATAGCTGTACAAGGATTCAAGGATTACAAGGGCCTACCAGTCCTATTCAGCGCCGCTGCATCAGGCATGGTGTTGGCCCGAAGCAGCTTCGGTAAAGGACCCCCGCAAAAGCCTAAAGCGACAAAACATTTAAGTTAGTCCCTAAACCCTAAACCATCCTAAACCCTAAACCCTAATCCCTAGACCCTAAACCAAACAATGAAGAAGATGTAGCCGCACTCCTACAGTCCCCAAGAAAGCCCTTAATATGCTGAGGGTTTAGGGTTGAGGGGTTTAGGGTTTAGGTGAGGCGTTAAGCCTACCAAGCCCTTGTAAAGCACGGGAAGAAGCCTGCACCAAACTCCCGCAAAAGACCGCAGGTCGTGTTGAAGTTCGGTGCAGATCCCAGCATCAGGCGGCTCGAAGCAGTGAGTCTTTTGTCGAGTTGGCCTTTGGATTCAACAGGGTTTGCAGTAAGGTTTGGGGGTTTATAGGGAGGGTTTAGGGTCTACAGTAGAAGCCATAAAGTTGGAACATCAGTAGCCTCATGCCCTTAAAGCAAAGTATAGGGAATCCCAGCATGAATCATCCTAAATTCATGTTCCAACTTTCTGGGGTTTCACTATAGGGTTTGGGGTTCCGGGCTCTTGGTGTTTAGTACGGTTTGGTAGGTTTAAGCCCTTCGGACATAGCGAAACCCTAAACTCAGAACTTGTTTCCCAGAGGCTCCACATATACTACCATTACGGAACTAGGCCACTAAGACCATAACAAGAATGGACTTTGGGGACCTAATGCCCATCTGGTAGTAGATATGGAGCCTCTAGGTTTTAAACACTGCAGCGCTTCTACAGATCGGTGCTCCAACAATCCAAAGTTTAAGAGGTGATGCGGTTTCAGGGCTTGTGGTTTCCTACCCAACTGTCAAAATCATGGTCCAATATGGGGAAACCCTTTATACTTCTATTCTTCATACCACATTCTATCTACTATTTGCTTAAGAAACCCCCAAAAAATAGAAATAATAATCCCCATATTACCCCCATAAGGAATATATGTTTTATTTTTTGGGGGGTTCTTAAGCAAATAGTAGCTATAGTGTGGGAACCCACCAGGCGCCCACCAATGTGGGTTTACATTTCAGGTCCACCAGTGGTGGGTTTTCGTCTCAGGTCCTCAAATGATCTGCGCGTCAAGCCCAGTATTTGTTTTGAAACAGTTCTACGGCCCTAGAGGACTGTATATGGTATGACCTTAGACGGTTTCGTAGGGTGGCAGAAGGGCATCCATGTAGGTGCGCAGAGTGTCTGATTTGAGGCTCGTGCTGTTTCTGTCGCTCCAGAATCATTCGTGTATATTCTCTGCGCAAGCTTCGTGCAATACCCCAAATCCCCCGGAGCCCTGTTGCTGGCATGTGTGCTTGTGCCAAGTTGAGGCCGTAGCTGAACACCTTGGACCCTCAAGCGCAATATCTTGAATAGAGATGCAAGCCCAAGATGCCAGTGGGCCATGTGCGCACGAAGGAAGAAGCCCTGCTGGAAATGTGTTGTAGTTGTAATCGCTTTCCGTGATTTGCAGCTGATGGAATAAGCAGGTTCTTTCAGGCTCATCTGTGGGGGGGGGGGTATGCTGTGGATCGCTGCTGACAAGCAGGAATGCAGACAACGAGACCTGCTTTTCGTACTCCACGCCGCACATGAAGGACGGGGGGGCAGGTTTGAAGGTATGCATACAATGTCGTAGTAGCAGCAGGAGTCGCATTCGTGGCAGACGCGTAGCAGTAGTAGTAGCAGTAGTAGTAGCAGCAGTAGTAGTAGTAGTGGTAGTAGCAGGAGTAGTAGTAGTAGTAGTAGTAGTAGTAGTAGTAGCAGCAGTGGTAGGAGTAGTACGAGTATGTAAGAGAAAGAGTAGGCGTATACAGGAGAAGGGAAGGAGTGGCAGTAGGAGTAGGAGGATGAGGAGGAGGGGTAGGAGTGGAAGTATATAGGAGTAGCAATAGGTGTAGAGTAGGACTAGGCGTAGGAGTGGGAGTCGTCGTCGCAGTGGTAGTAATTGTTGTTGAAGCCGTGTTGCAGTTGTGGTAAAGTTGTGGTGGTTGTTTGTTTTAGTCGGGATGCAATTGTTGAAGTTGTTGCAACTTCTGCTGCTGCTGCCTTCCACGCCGTGGCGGCTGCTGCTGCTCGTGTTGTTGTTGCGGTGGTAGTGGTAGTAGAAGTGGTTTCGGTGGTGGTGATTGTTGTCGGCATCGTGCTTGTCGTTATGGCTTTCGCTGTCGTGGTCGTGGTTGCTTTCACTGTTACAGATGTCATGAAGTGATTTCCTCTGATCCTGCTGCAGCCATTAAGTTACGACCAATGGATGCAATGGCTGCATGTTGCTATCGATGCGGACGGTGCTAACAAAGATGATGTGATGATGACGACGAAGATGAGAATCATGGGATGAACATGATGAGGAATGAAAATGAATCCAGCGCTGGTGATATAGATGCTGTTATGTTGATGGTGTCGTTCGTGCTGATGCGGATGATCATGACGATCAAATTCCAGAAATGACGGTGGTAGTTAACAGCATGAAAAAGCTCAGAATAGCCGTGATGTTGAACATAACTCATCAAGTGAACGGTTGCAGCCATAGAAGCACCTGCATCCTCATGACCACTATCATCTTATTGGTCCATCATCCTGATCTGAGGGAGGCGGCAGTCTTGGCATGCTAAGGCACTAGCCCAGCATGCTTCTTCGCTCTGCGTATTTAGGGTCCAGGCTTTGGGCTTGAGGATACTCTACCTAAGGGTGCCTCAGCAGAGATGTTATCAATTTGGGGTTCAAGGTCCAGGGTTGAGAGATTCGCCCACCGAAACACCAGTCTGCTTTGTCATGCCCCTACTGTACTCCAATCTGCCGACAGCCTCCGCAAAATCACAGGAGATGATCCACCACTGGGTCCAAACGCAGAAGTACACTCCCGACATCGTCTTCCCGTTGCCGCCGAGTCCGCTGCAGCAGCTGTACCGGGTGCCATGCCTGAAAAGACGGGTTGGCCAGAAGCCCTAAACCCTAAACCCCTAAAAACTAAACCCCTAAACCCCGAAACCCTCAACCCTAAACCCTAATTGTTCCGGTGCTGCCCCCAGTCAGCAAGTTACTCCATCCCGCACATCCTAGAAGTAGAGCCTGAACAAACTCCAACCCTCCACCATGAAGGCTAAGCCGGTTTAGGCTTCAGGGTTTCTTGGTTTACGGCTTGGTGCCTTCATTCATCCTTTAAATATCCGAAGGCCTAATACTCAGGTCCGACAATCGGACACTCTGACGCATCCTTTCTTAGCAGTACCAAAGAGAATGTAGAGGTGGAGATGAATCGTAATTTTATCTTGTGATAACACCGACGATGAGTCTTTGTAAGTCTGTTATGTAGTCGCCCTATGATAATGGAGCGCTTTTATGGAAGCCTTGAAAAGGAGCCTTTAAGGAATCCTTAAAGCATCCAGGTTCTAACAGTTACGATCCTGTAATGATCGAGACTATCTTCCACCACAGCAGCCAAGATACTTTGACGAGGCTCTGTCAGGGAATCAATAAGTTTAGGGCTTGAGGGTTTAGCAATATAGGGCTTGTAGGGTTGGGCGCTGGGTTTACGATGGTTTGGGGGCTGTAGGGTTGAGGGTTTAGGGTTTCGAACTTGGGGTTGAGGGGTCTAGGCCTACATAGCACAAGCCAACCATTTGCCAAGTTTGAGGCTCCACAGAGTCAAAGCCATCAAATATCGGATGCCTTCATATACTAACGGTTTAGGGTTTAGGGTTGGGGGTTCATTACACCCCCCTCAACCCTAAAACCCCGTCCAGAAAACTAGTAATTAAATCCATAGCCTCAAAGCCCAAGCCCCCAAGGGCCATGAAAGACTATAAGCCTAACCCTTCGAACCCATAGATATTCCTTGGTGCTGCCCGAATTCGGTAACATATAAGGCGCTTAATAGCAAGCCCATCACAGACTGTTACTGTACGAGGGCTGTACCAAAGGTATTCTTGAAACTTTCTGCCCCGCCCCAACGGCCCAAAGCATCCCAAACCCAAGCACTGATACTTTGAGGTGCGCGTGGAGAGCATCCCAATGCCTCGTTTCTGCATGTGGGTGGCCGTCAATATTAGGGTCCCTTTTTGGGTCCTTGTTATAATACGGCACATAATATTTAGGGTGCCCCAAAAAAGGGACCATAATTGTGACAACTACCCATTTGGAGTGGGTGGTTTCTAGTGAATCAAGGCTCTTTCTGGGTTCCTTCTCGGAGGGTCGGGGGACTTAGCAGTCAGTTGTTTCATGGCGTTGCATGTGTCATAACCCGGATTAGAGCAAGGCGATTTTCATGTCCCGTTTTAAAGGAGCAGGAATACTGACAAAGCCACTGAAGGGTGTCTTTTTCATACATGTATAAGAGTTGTACAAAGACAAAGCCCCATTCTGATTATGAAGGCCCCTACACAAGACACCTTGGCACCCCAAGCCCCAAAAGGCACTTCAGATTGCGGGTTTACTTAAAGGATGATGGGACTTAGTAACTAGGGTTATAATTCGGGTAATTGTACTTATAACTACTTGTAACCCCAATTAATTAAGGTACTTATAACCTTACTTACTAAGTTCCATGATCCTCCAAGTAGAGTTTGAAGCCGCGGGTCCCTTCCGGAGAGACTCTGCCGAAAATCGCAACAGCCGCGCTCGCAAGCCCCTTATGGGAGCTTTTCAGTTCTGTGGAACCCTATGAAGAAGCCACGGTAAGAATTCAGAAGAGTAGAAGTAATATAGGGGCCTACATAATTACCCATACTATTTTGGTGGTTCCTTTTAATCATTATCAGTACAGTATATTGGGCCCCGAAACAACATTATTAAGGAGGCCCAGGACACTTAGTAATTGGGGTATGAGTAGAGTAAAAAGTTCGCTGAATTGAGTTGCCCCAATTATAACCCCACTTTTCACCGACTTACTAAGTCCCCTGGGCCTCCATGTACGGCATAATAGTCCCCCTCAAACCCCCGCAAGGTGCAAAGGCCCCTAAACCCTACACTCTAAGCCTTTTTACATTGAACCCTAAACCCCTAAACCCCTAAACCCTAAACCCCCCCTATACGCCAAGGTTAATGCACCTGCCGGAACTTGAAGAACAGGCGCGTGCGCACGGGTGTAGAGGAGTCGGGGTTTCGGATTCGGAATTGGAATTCAGGGTTTGGGATTCAAGTTTTGGGGTTTAGGGCGTTTAGGAGTTAGGGTATATAGGTAATATCACTTGGAGGCCCAGGGACTTATTAAGTCGGTTACAAGTAGGGTTATCATTGGGGGTTACTGCATTTAGGGGACGTATAACTCTACCCATAACCTACTTACTAAGTCCCCCGGGCCTCTAAGTAGGGTATATAGGTAATGTCAGAGACTAAACGGAGCCTTCTGTTTGTGTTCAGGGGTTGGGCTTCGAGGTTGTGTAGGTTCTAGGTGTAGGATCTTTAGACATGATCACCTGAGCAGAATACCACACACTACTATTTGCTTAAGAACCCCCAAAACATAAAAAATATATTCCTTATAGGGATAATCTAGGGATTATCATTTTTTATTTTTTGGGTGGTTCTTAAGCAAATAGTAGTACAGAGTGCTTCAAAGTAAGCTTAGATGCGGGTTTAGGGTCTACCTGTAGGCTCATACCCTACCCCTTTTTGAGAGTATCTTCTTTTCCATATAGTAGATCCTAACCATAAAACTAGGTATCCTAAACGAGGGGTAGGGTATGAGCCTCTAGGTAGGGATTAGCAGGGTTTAGCAGGGTTTAGGATTTGCGGTGTCGAGGTTTTCTTTTAAATTGCCAGACTCCCTAAATCCTTTGTACCACCCTGCAAACACCCTGATCTAAGTCTTGAGTTTGGGTTTCGGGTTTTGGGGTTCACGATTTAGGGGCATGCCGTGCAGCATCGGATTGAAGTTTCGATTCGAGGGTGTTGGTAAGGGCTTTGGCGTCGAAGGGCCCAGACAGCGGAGAGTGCATTAGAGGGGCATGCCTTATCATGACCTTGCCATAGGGCTAAGGATACGATGTGACTAAACTCTTAGCCGACCGTTTGGTGACTTCCGTCCTTTTGACAGGGCCGTTTGGTGGTTCCGCAGCATTGAAGCGAAAGCGATGGGTATGGTGTCATGTCCCCCAAACCTACGGTTGATGTTATGAATCCTGCATTAATGACGTTAGGCTAAGGGAATTATTGTATATTCCTTGTTCTGGGTATCGGTTAATGCAGGTTTTATATCCCTAAGCCCCAAACCCCCAAACCCTAAAGCCCCAAACCCGTAAACCAGGATCCTTAACCCACCCTACTTAAAGGATCATGGGACTTAGTAACTAGGGTTATAGTTAGGGTAACTATACTTATAACTACTTATAACCCCAATTAAGGTACTTATAACCTTACTTACTAAGTCCCATGATCCTCCAAGTAAACTCTGAAAGCTTCGGCCCCAACAGTCCTGCCTGCATGTGCCAGGTTCTGCAATTCTTCGCGAAACTGCCCTACGAGCCATGACTTGATTCAGTCAGACTTAAACCTCAAACCCTATAACCCTAAACCCTAAACCCTAGCCGGAAACTTCCTAAACCCTATAAACCTTAAACCTCAAACCCTACAACCCTAACACCTAAACTTCTAACGCCTACATCCGACTCTTGGACAATAGCCAACAAACAACGGCGCGAATCAGCGAAGGGCTAAGAGGAATCTGAAAACCCGAAACCGTCAACCCCCAAGAACCCTAAAACAGGTTTGAAAGCCTGAACCCTGCTTTCCAACACCCGCCGCACAATGTCAAATACGACCCTAGGTGCGCGGTTTCTGGCGCCTCCCGTCTACAGTTCAAAATCCGACACCGCAAACCCTCAAAACTCGAAAAGCCCCAAACACGCAGCCCCAATGGCCGTCATCATCATCGTCATCGTTGTCCTCGTCGTCATCGTCACCGTCACCACAATCAGCTACCATAGGGAACCACCACCACCACCGCCGCCACCACCGCCACCGCCGCCACCGCCGCCACCGCCGCCACCGCCGCCACCGCCGCCACCGCCGCCACCGCCACCGCCACCGCCACCACCACCACCACCACCACCACCACCACCACCACCACCACCACCACGACCAGCACCACCACGACCAGCAGCAGCACCACCACCACCACCACGACCAGCACCACCACGACCACCACCACCACCACCACCAGCACCACCACCAGCACCACCACCACCACCACCACCACCACCACCAGCACCACCACCACCACCACCACCACCAGCACCACCAGCACCACCAGCACCAGCACCACCACCAGCACCGGCACCACCACCAGCACCACCATGTTCATCGTCATCGTCGTCCTCCTCCTCATCATCCTCGTCGTCGTCATTGTCGCCACGAGGAACATCCTCATCATGATAGTCATCGCCGGCATCACCATCATGGATCATCAGCATGATCACGGCCATGGTCATCAGCGCGGAAGTAGCACAAAGATGTGTAACCATGCGAATAGTCGGCCATCAGGACAAACCAATGCGGATCATTGTCCCTTCGGAGCCTATCCATGGGTGGCCTAAGGCGGGTGATGTGGGCGGGATGTATGCGGTTCTCCGGATTATTTCGTAGTAGGGATCCTTCTGCGAGCGTGGTGCCCGGGCAAGCCCTATCACCCTTCTCAGAACTTGTGGAATCAAGCCCTGTAGGCCGGCCCTTTATGGATCCTGCGGTATCAACACATCTTCCTACCACGCTTTATGAAGCCCCTAAACCGCCTTGTACGACCAAGGGGTATAGAAACTTGATTGATGTATACTATTACCTCTAGGGTTCTTCATTACATTACAATTATGCTACGCCATACACCAGAACCCTGTTCTAATCGTCAAACCCCGAGTTCATAGGGGTGCTTAAAGGTTTGGCGCTTGAGGTTGTCGAGCCGTCATCTAGGTGTGTGTTTTTTTTGTTTCTGTTTTTGGTGGGTTTGGGTTTAAGGTTTAGTGCTCACGAGCCCTCTTCGTGAGGTCGAAGAGGGGGGATTAGCGCCGATAATAAAGGGGGCGCAATACATTCTCTCAGGTTTCTCAGCAGATTGTCTTGTATAATATACCCAAAGTTCTACTCCAATTATGAAGGCTGCTATACTTTGCACTTTGAGCAAGGTCCACCCATGCCAACTGCTCATCCTACGAGTCTTGGAAGCCCTAAACCCCCAAACCTCTAAACCCCTAAACTCTAAACCCCTAAACCGCTAAACCCCTAAACCCTAAACCCCAAACCCCAAACCCCTAAACCCCTGAACTCCTAAACCCCTGTAAGTCCAAAAACGGTAACCCCTGAACCCCTAAACCCCTAACCTCCCAACCCCAAACCCCTAAACCCCTAAACCCCTAAGCCCTAAACCCCCAAACCCCGCAACTCCTAAACCCTAAACCCCTAAGCCCTAAAGCCCCTAAACCCCTAAACCCCTAAGCCCTAAACCCCCCAACCCCAAAACCCCCCAACCCCTAAACCCCCCAACCCCTAAACCCTGAACCCCCAACCCCTAAACCCCCAAAAACCCCTAAACCCTAAACCCTAGACCCTGATCCCTAAACCCAAACGAAGCCAGGAACCCGGAACTGGGTTGTCCTTTGGGATCTCTTTTAATTTCCCCTACTATTTCGTAGAGAACCATAATAGTAAATAATTTTCAAAGGGCGTAAAGGACAACTCAGTTTAAAGCCCAAAATCCTAAACCCCCAAACCCCTAAATCCTAAACCCCTAAACCCTAACTCTAAACCCCAAACCCCTAAACCCCAAAGCCAAACAAAGCAAAGAACCCTAAAACCCAACAGGGATTCTGCTATGCGGACTTCTCGGAGAGGCAGCATGCCTATGAGATCTGCAAGGCAAGCTCGGCGAAAGAAAGTGTAGGGTTGAGGGCTCCAGGGTGTTAGGGTTCTGAGGTTCTGAGATTCTAGGGCTTGGGGTTTAGGGTTTAGGGTTTTGAGGGTTTGAGGGTTTGTAGTTTAGGATTTGGACAAGGCTTTCCACTGGAATCCAGCGCCCTCTCCAGCCCAACGGGCATCGTCCGAGACAGAATTTGGGGAACTCCATTGACGCCGGCTTTGCCGAGGCCCGACTAGTTCACGAGGCATGACGGATTACTACGGGCCGGACTGCGAGCGAGCCGGGACAAAAGTTGCCGAGAAGGCATGGAGGACCTTCCTTACCTCATGGTATTCCCCCTTTTGAGTGGGAAGTAATGACATTTGTAATATAGACGCTGACGAAAAGCTTTTTTTTTATTCGAGTAGGATATTAGCGGGGTTCAGCGAAGATTCGGGTGTATCGATCAGCGTTTTCACCTTAAACTCCTAAATTTCTAGAAGCATCATGAGCCACCTCCAAGCCTATGAAATCCCAAGAGCCCTCATGAAACCTGGGGGGTTGATGGTATAGGATGCTTGAGTCTGCTATTTAGGTGTTATGTTGCAGGAAATTTGGTTTAGACTCCGGGCCTCGTGGTGATGCCTTTCAGAATATATACCCTGACCCTGCTTGGAGGCCCATGGGACTTCGTAAGTCGCTTATAAGTAGGGTAGTTCCTTTGAGTAACTCCACTTAGAGTATTTGTAACTCTACTTACACCCTACTTACTAAGTCCTCGGGGCCTCTATGTATAGTACAGGGGTCTCATCTATGTATAGTACAGGGGTTTGAGACCCCTAAACCCTCAACGCTAAACCCTAAACCGAATACAGACGCGGAGTAACAGGACGCCCTGGTATAAGCACTTCAAGAGAGTCTCTAAACCCTCATATGGGGGTTTCCGATAATAGGGGACGACCCTAGTATTGTACCCTAAATAGTAGACTCCTTACTCTTCAGGACCCCATAATAAGGTCCCCTAATTTTAGGAAACCCCCATATGAAGCCTCATGAAGCCCGTCTAACAAATCGCAACATCCTACAACAAAGTTTGTGGTTAAGGGTTTAGGGTTTAAAGTTTGGGGCTTTAGGACAACACGCTCACATGTACAGGCCTCCAAGGTGGACGGTATCTTCATGATGCGCCGACGGCTGAACTTCATCAACCAGGGTGTGCACTACCAGTACAAGGCAGGGCTTTGTTGGAACTTCGGGGTTCCGGTGTAGGGTTTCAGGTTTTGGATTTAGGGTTCAGGGTTTAGGGTTTAGGGAACTTCCGGGGTTTGGGGTTGGCGCTTTATTTTGGGTTTTAGGGTTCAGGGTTTCCCTTAAGTTAGCCGGAATAGCCTACCTTTTTAAGGACTTATTACAAGGAACTCATAGTAAGGATGCCTAAAAAGGGTAGGTTATCCAGGGTTAAGGTCAGGTTTAGCCTTTCGGGTTTGGCCATGAATTATGTCGAACCAATTTCCATCGGTTTTCTGCAAAGTACCTAGACCCCCAAAAGTAGGTAAAAGACTGGCCCAAAACCTATAAAAGGCTATTGTTCTACATACTTTGGTGGTCCAGGTAGAGCTTTTGTGAACGAAGGCTCCTTTCTGAAGATGTCTGGTTAACTAGAGTTTTTGCTTTTGGAACGATCTGCGAAGTGTACGCCGGTAGGGACCAGGGAACACTGCCGGGAAGATATGCCAGGAGACAGAACCTTACCAAAGAACCGACAAGAGCCAAAGATTTTGCGTGATTTAGGTGTGACAATGACCCTGCACCCTTTTCCATTAACCTCTGAACCCTAAACCCATCGGCATCAGGACCCTGCTGCCGAAGAGGCGGCCAAAGACGAGCAAAACGATCCCTGAAGGGACGCGAGGGTTCCGACCAGAGACTCCAAAAACAGTTCGTTGTGGAGTATACCTGCAATCACATGAAGAATCCCTTCGTAGTTTAATGCGGTATAGATTCGTCTGGATTTCCCTGAAGAAAAGACCGACAAAATCCATACAAACCCTTCTAAAGCAATAACAACCTTGGAGGCGTTTTGGAGTCTTCGGGCTGCGTTGAATTCGGTCTAGGGTTACACCCTACAGCCCTCCCCTCCTAAACCCTACCTTAAGCCGGAACAGCTTAACTTTTTAAGAACTTATATAAGGAACTCATAATCAGGAACCCTAAAAAGATAGGGAAATTCAGGGTTAAGGTAAACCCTAAACCCTATACCCTTCAGCCCCTCACCCGAAGCCCAAGCCTGCCGTAACCCCAAATAACCTACCTGTTCGAGGTTTTTTTGAAAGGAAATCATAACAAGCTAAACCCTAAACCCCTACATCCTTCGGCTCCCAAGGACAACCAAGCTCAGAGTTTAAACTCAGACTTAGAGGTTAGGGTTTAGGATTTAGGGTTTAGGATTTAGGATTTAGGGTTTAGGGTTTGGGGTTTAGGATTTAGGATTTAGGGTTTAGGGAGTTTAGGGTAATGTAGGAACCTGAGATTAAGCAGCCTTGGGCCTTTATTAGGGTTCCTTTAAAGGGGTCTATAAGGATGACCTTCAGGGATCTATAAGGGTACTATAGCAATGTAGGAACCTGATTAAGAAACCTTGGGCCTTTATTAGGGGTCTTTATATGCATCCTACTATATTGGGGGTTATAGGGCCAGGGTTTCTTAATCAGGTTCCTGCGCTACACCATGACGACTGTGGGCCCGCAAGCCCTCCACTGAGTCCTTCCAACCCAAGCAGATGACATATGCGCTGAGGTTTGGTAAAGCCTGAAACATGGTATCGCCTATCCCACAACGTTCTTTTTATTTCTGAGGTTCCGATAGAACGGCTTTGGGTGCTCAGACGCTTGAGTCTTCAAGTTGTGACTAGAAAAGATGTGGATTTGGGATGGGAGACAGGGGTTCAGGGTTTAGGGTTTAGGGGGTTTGAGATGGAATATTTCCTGAACACGGCACCGTATATCTCGACTCGAGCCCCAACAACCTAAACCTTAAGCACAAGCCTTGCACCCCAAAACCGCAAAGCCGTAAACCTGCATGAATTCACAGTATTAGGGTCCTTTGCTGAGCAAAGAGACATGCAGCAAGTGCAGCGGTGCATGGAAAGAGAGCTGAGGGATTTGCTTAGTGTTTCGCTTGAGGCCTAGCCAAGGTAGTAGTACAGTATAGTGACAGGGTCTTTTCCCACATGCGATCCCTAAACCCTAAACCAAAAGCCTAAACCCTAAACCCAAGCATTGGGCGCTGTGAGTGAACGAGGGGCATTTTCAGGCCCCAAGCCCTGCAGCCGGCAGCCCCAATAGCAATATTACCTTGAGGGCTCTTTATTCAAATGTAACACTATAGCACTCAAAACCCTGTTCACCCACATTCCTCATGCTCCTCCTCCTCCTCCTCCTCCTCCTCGTGCGCCTCATCTTAGTCTTCATCATCAGCAGCAGAAAAATCCTCAACATCGAGATCGTCATCACCGCCATCACCATCGTCATCATCATGATCATCGTCATCATTGTGCAGCTTCAGAGCGGGCCCGCAGCGCTGTGCCTGCAAAGAGCATGACAATACCACCCATCTATCTACGGTTCGAACTATCGGTCTACCTATCTACCCATAGGCCCCATAGTAGTTCCTTTTTGGGACTACCTTGTTGGATTCTCAATATGAACCCCCCAAAAGGAACTACTATAGGGCCTTTGGGTACATATTATGTAAGGGTCTATCTATACAGTAGGTAGGCATGTAAAGATGCCTGCATGTGTGCTCGTGGGTTGCAGTCCGATAGTTCCAGAATCAGTGTTTCGATTGCTCTCTGGCTGGCTCTCGGTGCATGTGCCTGCGCCACGATTCTTCCTTCTAAGACTGAGCAGACCCCCGACTTATTATGCGGCTGTGGTTGCGCAGTTGCGAAGTTTGCGTAAGTGCCCCAAACCTGAGACCAACATGACAAAACAGCTCTTCTGATCGCTCTGAGGCTCGCAGCTTAAACTTTGCATAGTCTCATGAGCTGACAGGTTGTGCTCCACCCAAAACCTGCCCTCCTAAGCTGACACGATCCCAAGCCCCGAGGCCAAAAAGCCCAAAGATAGGGCAAAGCCGAAACACTAAACCCCCTAAACCCCCCTACCCCCAAAACCCGCCAAGGCCCTTAGATCCTAAGCCCTTGAAGCTATAAAGATCCCAAACTGCGTTGAGGTCTCAACTTCAGGGCAGATTTAGCTTGATCAAGCACCTCGGCCTCACCGAGAACTACGAAGATTGACTCTGGACCTCAACTCTGTACCCTAAACCCAAAACTCCAGACCCTAAACCCTAAGCGCACAAAATCCGCAAACCCACCTCTTTAAGCCCTAAACCTCTTCATATAAGTCATTTGCCAGCCATGCTTCAGCGGAAGAGTTGCTGTTCTTAGCCATGACATCGGCGGAGGCCGTGCTGGGCCCCTTTGTGAGGAATACTTGAGTATCTGCAAAGGTTTCTATAAGTTTTGCTGTAATACAAGGGTTAGTAAGAAGGGTTTTACGGCCTTGGCCCTTGGGTTGATTTGGGGCTTCATACGGGCTGCCATATGCCATAGTTCTGACCCCGCTGTTCAGGGGCGTGATGCAAGGTTTCAACGTCTTGGCAGAGTCCTGTAGGCCTTGATGGAGTTTCCCCGGTCGCTCCAACACTAAACCATAAACCTTAATCCCAACCCCCCAAAAAACAAACAAAACGAGCAACAAAAACAATGAAACAACAACCCCCAAGTCTGAACCCTACACATTAAGCCCAAACCCCCAAAATTGCCACTGGTTGCACGGTTTCACGTGCCGAGGTCACGCTCAGTTTGGCCAACCTTAACCCCCGCACCATGGCCACTAATACAGGGGCCACTTAATCATTACCCAGGGTTCCTTTTAAAGGGATCCTTAAAGGGATCTATAAGGGATCTATAGTAGGGCTCTATGTTAGGGGCATAGTAATTGCCTATACTATTTTGGGGGTGCCTTGATAACTACGGTATAATGGGCCCCAAAACCCTATTCTAAGTATCACGGCTCCTTTACTAATCCTTCTAAAGCCTTGTAAGCCGTATTGCAGCCCTAGAAAAGCCTTTAACGCTGAGAAGCCCCGATAAACTTATTCAACAGTTTCCTGAAGCTTCACGAAGTGCGATTTGAAAGCCCTAAACCACCCTCAAGAAACTCTTAAGTCTTTCCTTAACCCAGCCCCCACCTCCAAACAAACAACAACAACAACAAAACACAAGCGAAAAGTAACTAGCTTCTTCTGGCTCCTTATGTTGATTTCTGTTAAAAGTCCTTAGAGGTCGGAAAATGTAGAATGATGAAACCCCTTACAGCCCACTAAATGGTTCTACTTTGATGCCTTTCTCTGATATTTGAGACCCCTATCATCCGGTCTTTTCCGTCGTTTTGCACAGCCTTGCAGAAACCCATCCTGAGAAAACTGCCTTTCTCTACTTATCAAGGTCGCGTTCATAAGACTCTTATAGAAACCCTTATAGGCACCCCCCTTGTTCTAAAACGCAGGTCTGCTCTGCTTATGAAATTTCGGGCTTTGCCACAGTTATGGCAACCCTTATAAGATAGAATCCCTTCAAAGGCACCCTGATGCAAACTTGCTCATGGAGGCCTGGATACTAGTGAAGGAACCTGATTAAGAACCGCTGGTCGTCCAGGTTCCTATATCCCACCCTAGACCCTAAACCCCAGTCAGTAAGGAACCCCCCAACATAGTTCAAGTAATTCTTCAGGCCCTACTAAATCCTTATAAGATCGGTTATAGTAGCCCTTAAACCCTAAACCCTAAACCTGGTAGTAGCCCTTATATAGACCCTAAACCCTAAACCTTATAGTAGCCCTTAGAGACCCCTTTCAAGGAACCCTAAAAAACCCAGCCTTTCGGAGCCGACAGGACTTCGTGAAGGACTGGCCCTCCGTGAAACTGAAGGCGGCAGAGAGGGTTTTTTAGGATGCCCCTAAGGGCCCAATATAGGTACTTAAGTTAGGTTTTTTTGGAGGGTTTTTTTAGGATCGTTTTTAGGGGTTTAGGGGTTTAGAGCTTGCTAGGGTTTTGGTGCCTAATTATCGTACACTCTCCAAGATAGCAACCTACATAACACCTATCCGAAACCTAAGTACTTAATTATTGGGTCCTTCGGACCCTTAGGGTTCCTTTAGAGGCAGACCCCAGCACCGCAGAGGGGGACGGGTGCGCGGGTAGAGCACAGCAAGCAGCCTACCATGAGGGACAGGGGGACCAGAGACGAGGGAACAAAGCAACAAAGTCGGAGATACGCGCAGCCTTCAGGGAAAGAGGCCTACACAAACCAGAAGGCCTCTCTTGGAACGAGGTGGCACACTGAGTCGGCATGACCCCATTCCAAGAGGAGACGCATCGACCAGCGCCAACACGGCCGGAAGCACCGATGGCGGGTGATAGGGTTTAGGGTTTATGTAGGGTTTAAGGTTTTGCTCAGGGCTCAGGGTTTAAGGATGTTTAAGGTTTAGGGTGTTAGGTGTTGTTTAGGGCTGAGGGTGTTTTAGGGGTGGGTCTAGGGTTTTAGATTTTTGTCGTGGGTTCAGGGTTGATAGGGTTTGACAGCGATTTCGCAGGCTTCACTGTTTGTTACGGGTGTTGCAAGAGAAGCTATGCCTGAAGGACCAAATGACCCTGAAAGTGGGGGATGGAACATCGGGTCCCAGTATGGTGATTGAACCTGATTCACGGTCACGTTTAGGGTACATTTTGTCCATAAGTGGGTTTGTAAGGATGAATACTTAAAGGATCATGGGACTTAGTAACTAGGGTTATAATTCGGGTAACTATACTTATAACACCAATTAAGGTACTTATA